AGAGAGACTCTGTTATCACAACTCAGTGTGTTTAATGTTCTCTTACAATCATTAACCAGAGCCGACACCGTTTTCACGGCTTGCAGCGCCTGGAGAGCGGCTTGACTGTCTGAGAAAATTCGTACTGTCATGTTCTTCACCCCTCTTTCAAGAAGGATTTTAGCACCCATGTCAATAGCAAATACTTCCGCCTGGAATACAGTACAGTACGTACAAAGCCTGTAAGCTTGCTTAATTTGACGTGACTGGCAGTATACTCCTGCTCCGACCCCTTCAGGCGTTTTTGATCCATCTGTGTACAAGCAATTGTCTGCCTGAACCAGAGAATTTTAATTTTCGATCCAGAACTGCCGCTCAGGCAATACAATCTGGTATCGAGCATTAATCACTGATAGTGATACCGCCAAATCTGACGGCATTGATAGCACAGTATCAGTGCTTATAATGTCTTCCGCAGCCCATTGGTAGGACATGTCGGAACAGTTTTGAGCATATTGCTTAAATCTGTAAATGGTTGTTCTAGCCACTTTCTCTATATGCAAATGCAGAGGAGATAGGCCAAGCAGAACCTCCATTGCTAGAGTTGGCGTTGTGCTTATCGCACCAGAGATTGCCAATCCGGCTACTCGTTGAATTCGTGAAAGTTTACTGATAACTGAAGTCTGTCGGACTTTCCTATACCAGGTCGCTGCTCCGTATGTTATTATAGGTCTAACTACAGTCATATAGAGCCAGTACAGTCTTTCAGGGGTAAAAACCCAATTTTTTCCACAAAGACTGCGACAAGTCCACAAGGATAGTCTAGCTTTGTGCAAAACTCCCTGCAAATGTACATTCCATTACAGGGTTTTGTCTAGGATTACTCCTAGATATTTGACTTCCTTTGAGAAAGGAATTTCTTCAGCTTGGATAGTTTGGCAGATTAGTCCATCCAACTTTCGTTTCCTGGTGAAGGGCACAACAATTGTCTTTTGCGGGTTTATTGAGAAGTTCTCTCCCATACACCAAGCACAAATGGTATTTAGGGTCACCTGGAGGACTTTAGATATCCTCGACAAACAGGTTCCTTTGATCATCACGGCAATGTCATAAGAATAAGCTTGTATTTCTACATCAACGGCTTCGACTATCGCAATCAGATCGTCAACCAGGAGAGACCAAAGCAGGGGAGATAACGCCCCCCCCCCCTCCCTGCGCCCCCTCCCGGCCTGAAGCGTACCGTGTCACCGTGGAGTGAAGTAGAAACTATTCTGCTATCAAGCATATTGCGGATCGAACCCGCTATAGTTGCTTCCACTCCCCTGTCAAGAGCAGCTCTTTCAAGAGATTGTGGTATTGCGTTGTTGAACGCTTCTTCTATATCCAGAAACGCACAAACCAAGATTTCTTTATCCTGCAGCGTCCTGAATACTCTACCAACGAAGTTGTGTAGAGTCAATTCTGCTGATTTTCCCGCTTGATAAGCATACTGGTGGCTACTCAGTGGACCAGATACCAATGGCACCGTACGGATATACCGTTCCAGAACTTTTTCAAAGATTTCAACAGAAATGACGTTAGGCTGATGGGTCGAAAGGCATTAGGAGTAGGGACTGAACGGCCCGCTTTGGGTATTTAAGATACCCTTACCTTGGTCCATTCTTGCGGTACATATTTCGTTGGGAAAAATTTCACTCACGTCTGGTATTTCTGGATAAACATACGTGTCGAAATTTTGTCTGTATTGGCGCATGAATGAAACTGTGATAATTCCACCTTCAGTATTCAGAATTTTAGCTACAAACATTTTTAGGCTTTTTCTCTTTAAATCCATTAGCTTCACTTGCAAAAAGTCCCCCTTGTTTATATCTTCAATTTGAATTGATTCTACAATAAGGCTGCGGCGCAAAGGCTTTGACACCTCTTCAATATCCCCTTCATTTAAACTGAGTGAGTGATGAGTCATTGCATATATCCTCGCATATTGGAAGAGAAAAAACCTTACTTTTAACTGGATTTTTCGACTGAGGTACCCTGGAGCGTTCCTTAAGTTCGTCGACGTTGGGCAGAACCATTGTTCTGCCTCGTTAATAGTTTTTTCTCGGTCTTTCATCAGCTTTAGGGATGGGCATAATATCCTGTGGTGAAAAGTATAGACGCTGCGATGACTGCTCTTCATGATGTTCTTCTTGAGAACATGGAACGAAACCCGTTTTTTGTGCTGGACATAAATCTCCAACACTTTTAGGTGAAGGACTACATTTTTTATGATGACTAGGTGTAGTGTCGTCCTCTTCCGGATCATGCACCACACCGTCTTCATTGATGTTAACTTTTCTGTTGGTTGTTTCGGCCAATTCGAATAAATCGTCGGGAAATACTCCTGAATTCCTGTATTCTTGAAACCATTCAATGCATTTTGCATCGTTGCAGCCCGTTGGTATACCCTGCCAAATAATTCTCCACTTTCATGAATCGTAATTACTTTTCCAGGATTGTTACGTAACCAATTTTTACACTCTTGTCCATAATATGAGCTAAGTGGAAACATAAATGATACATCTAAAGGCTGCAGCCTATACATTTTCTATACGTTTTCTTTTGCCATTTGAACCAACTCTAAGTTCTTTGTGTGCGTGGCATGGCCATCTAAAATCAGCAGTACGGGCTCTTGTTCTGTGGGCTTAGAATACTTAAGAAAGTGGTTGAACCAAGTAGGGGCAAAAATACTTTTACAGCAGCTTTTGACGCATCTTCCTCTGTAGCATGCTGTGCACGTTTATCTTGTATTTTATATTTAAAAGAGTATTTATATAAACTACTACTACTCTTTATCCTCATTGCTCTTCTTCGCCCTTCTATACAGCGTCGTTTTTGGCACATTGTATCGAATAGCTGCGGCTTTAACATTTAAACGTTCTTCTCTTACTGCCTCTATAGCTAATTTCATACTATTTTTATCCCAAGACTGTTGAGCAGTCTTCCGTTTGTAATAGCGTACCATATTTCTAAAACATAGCTCAAAAAATCAGCAAAAAAAAATTTGCCAAAAATCCATTTTGCCCCCATTCGTTAATTCCACTTTACCCCGTAAACACACAATTGTATAAATTTCTAAAAATTATTGTTCGCCATTGGCATATGAAAGTATAATGATGAATTTCTAGCAGTTCATATCGTAACTTAAGTAGTAAACCAAGTAAGAACAATTGTGTTTAAATAACATTTATATTATATGTAATTTACTTACCTGGTAATATTACAACAGTTGCACCGAAAACAGATATTTTTACAGCGAACTTTATAGTATTCTTACTTTACGTTTACTCAAACAATTTACAGATAGCGATACTGAATCGGAATTTATTTAGAAATTCCACTTTGTCCCCAGGGTCCACTTTACCCTACCTTCCCTTACACGGGTTATAACTCCATATTTTTTCAACCCAACCCGAGGATCTGTTTGGGATTGCATACAATAATCAACAAATGCCCTTCTTTCTCTCTTTATAGCACCTTTTACATAATTCCTCATATGTTTATAATACTGCCATGATTCGTCTGTTTTTAGTAGTCTAAATCTTTTGTAAGCCTTATCACGAGTCTTCTGCATATCTTTTATAGTGTCGGTTATCTTCCACAATTAACCCAGATATGCCCATATAAATTTGGTGGTTGTTTATGAGTAGATGTTCTAAGAGGTTAGTGTTTAAGCTATACATAAACAAATTTTGTAAAGCAAATTAAAAATTTATTTTGAAAAATACAAAATTCAAGCCGTACTATATGTAGTACGGTGGGCAGTTAAGGAGTAACAAATCTAATTGTTAGTTTGTGTATGATATGAAAGGAAACACTTCACGTGTAGACCCTTTTCACACTTCAAACATCTAGTGGTGGTCTTCTGATGACAATGGACGCATCTAGTCTGCTTATCTTGAGGTATGACGTAGTGGTCCCTGTGATCAAAACGAATATCTATACCTTCATTACGTGACGTATGTCCTCTTGAAGTCGTTTGTTTTTTATTCTGCAATAGCAGTGTGGTGGCAATTCTTCTTCTAAATTTTAGCTGATCTAGTGCTCCACCACTTCTCCTATGTAGTTACCAGGCGTTGTGGACTGACATGTCAATACAATGTACTATATGAGGAAAATACCATTTTTTCCCTCTGACATATATACGATAAAGGCTCAAATTTTGATCACATCTGTTGACACCTCCCATATTCGCGTTGTATAAATTGACTAAATGTGGCGGAGTTACCTGAATAATTTTCTTTTCTTTTCGAGAAAATCTTTTCGCAGAATGAATTGGATTCACCCCTGCTGAATTTGAACATAAAGTGACAATACTATTGTCATGCCATTTTACAACAATTATATTTTGGCCAACAATTTTTTTATAATCGTAGCATCCCCTGGGCTTTTTCTTCATTTTTTTAGAATCCATCAGAGGACTAGCTGGTATACGGTTTTCACGAATGGTGCCTGAGCCTCTCAAATTTTTATTGGATAGAAGCTCCAATAGCGGAAAGGTGGAAAAGAAGTTGTCAAAAAAAAGTGTATTGGTTCATTAGGCTATTTTTTCTTCAAAACGTCGCCATATTCTAAAACAACAGCAGGCCCTGCACCGTACGCACTATACTTAGTGCTGATATTTGTTGACGCGCTTTGGTACGGCTCGAACCAGTTCACATAGCCCAGTCGCGTTGCCCCTACCCACAGTTTATATGCATATCGAATGGGTTTACCATGTATAAACTGTTTACAGCCATGACGACCAAAGTATGGTACCATGGCTTCATCAACGCAATGCATCTCCTCGCATATACTATTTTCTAAANACATAGCCCAGTCGCGTTGCCCCTACCCACAGTTTATATGCATATCGAATGGGTTTACCATGTATAAACTGTTTACAGCCATGACGACCAAAGTATGGTACCATGGCTTCATCAACGCAATGCATCTCCTCGCATATACTATTTTCTAAAAATTTTGTATTCAGATGTTGGAATAAAGGCCTCACCTTTGCGAATTTGTCCCTTGCTTTTATTTTAGTAGTATCTGCAAGATGAGAATGGGACATAATATATTCAAAATTATTTCGACTTATTGCTTCAGACATCAACACATTTTGACTGTCACTTTCATACTCCCAGTACATTCTCTTTCTTGGTACTTGCATGTATCCACTGAGTAATAGTACACCATGAATGCTTTTATTTCTGTTTTCTCTATTCTTAGGTGTTGATTCTTCTGATTTGCATAACGATTACTTTCGATTACTATTAGATCCAGTATTTCATCATCAAAGAAAAGTGAAAATAGCTCCAAAGGACTTATATCGTTATCATTTTCATCTACTTGGCCATTAAAAATTATATTATTAGGCTCCAAGTCGTTATCCGTCCATTTATAACTTTTTCTTTTTTTCGTATTTTTTTCTACCCTTGCTTTCTTTACCCTCAAGGCTGAAAGAGGAATTTCGTCGTCTGAAGCATAATCGTCATCATTCTTTTGATTTTGATTCTGACAGTCAATATTTCTGAAATTTATTTCAGCTGGAGGTTGAAGTTGTGGTCCAGGTAAATTATTTAGGTTTGTGGCATCCTCCTCTCCAGAATCTCCATCGGTTTGATCACCGCAAGCATTCTCTGGTGGAAAAATGGTCAAAGAATCGACGTTTTCTGCCAGTTCGCCGTCATCTTCTAACATTGCCAAAGCCTCGTTTAACGAAAAACCTCTAGAATAATAGAAAAAATAAGAGATATCCGAATGCCCACCGTCCTACATAATATATAGTACACATACAAAAATCGGGTTGAAACAATACTCTAATAAATTTTAAAACTAATTTGGAGGAATATATCTAAAACTTGGTACTTTTGTCTTATTGTCCATACTTAATGAATAATAGAAAAATAGATAATACAATATATGAAAAACTACTTACCTAACAAATCGTACATCGTATTCCGCCATTAATGATATTTCACAAACTTTAAAAAATAACAATGACAGTAATTAACACTTAATTGCAAACCTATGCACTTTTACGCAACCACTACTTCTTACTGAATGCCTGTGTGCACCCGAAATGCCACTTCGACTCATGTTCGGACACGTTGAGACATGTATTTGCGTGTACTATATATAGTACAGTGGGCATATCTGGGTTAAAGCACTTTGGTTTCTCTCAGGATACAAATGAGCTATCTTTAGAAACTGCAATTCGTTACCATGAGGTTGCTAATGACAAACCTGAAATAAATAAAGTTGTATTAAATGAAAAAAGTCCTATTTGGGTTGAACTTGATTATTATCTGCAATGCCAACACCTAAAAAAGATACCTGTCAACACATAATTCCTGTCAACGGTGGAGTATTAAGTAATAGGTTTTTAATATCCGGTCAAAACCGGATATTTGGTATCCGTCCAATTTTACAAAATGGCCGAATAGTTGCCGGATATCCGTTCCACCACTAGTTTAGATTAATTATTATTTTTTTTAATCTATTTTTCTTATCTGTGTGAAACTTGTATGAACAATAATTAACTTACATTAGGTATTTCGTTAAATTTCAAAAATAAAAATGATTATGGGCCATAATATAATCACAGAATTCTGTGATATAATCATAACATAACCTGACATAACCTTAAAAGTTGAATAGAGAATGGCGAGGACGCATACAGAATTCGTTTTTGTTAGAAACACATGCAAAATTGTAGGGTAAAATTAAGTTTTTGTGTTATTTCTTATTTATAAAACTAAAAACTACAATTTAGGTTGTGCAAAATCATCTGAATATAAAAAACATGGAGTAACATAGGATATAAATTTAAGGTTACAACTATCCTGGTGGCCCTTTCATTACAGAACCATGTTACGGAATAAATCAAGTTGATTTGTAATAAGTTATACAGCACATTTTCTTTGGTGAAGCTCTACACATTATTATTAAGTGGAAAATAGTATGTTTACAGACAATATTCTACCTCAAAAGGACATTCACCTTACTCGTGATATCACCAAAGACTTTGCAATAAATATGCCACCACATCGAAAATCCTTTCAAGATAATGAAACACATAAATTTAATGATGAGGATAATCCAGATCTCTTAATTTTTAAATCTATTTCTTCGTATATGTGCCATAAAGAATGTGATAATTGTTTAAAAATATTTTCCGCAATCGAAACTCTAGAGAATGATATCAATTTAGAAAACGTATCAATAAATGGAATTAAGAACACCGATGATCATACAATTAAGCCTAACTCTTCAACTAAACCACAAGATAGGAAGATAAATTTATATTGTTCATCCTGCAATTTTATTTCAAAAGAAGAAACTGATTTAATGGTTCATTCTAAAATGATTCATCATGATCTTAATCCTTTTAAATGCACCTCTTGCGATGATGAATATCCAACTTATGTTCAGTTAGGAAAACATTTAGAGGAGCACCTTGAATCAAATAATAAGATTACTTGCCGACGATGTTCAAATTCAATTACTATTGAAGAGATTATGTTACATCTAAATTTATGTAAAAAGTATCTACCATATGAATGCCAGCAATGTTCGAAATGTTTTGCCATAAATGAGACTAGATTGAATCATGAAAACGGACACAACAAGATGTGTGATTATTGTAATATATGTTTCTTTTTGCTAGAGGATTATGAGAACCATTTAAAAGATGTTCATATTATGAATAAGGAGTTTAGAATGGATACGGTGAATTTGATTTCTAGGGATAGTGAAGGGGGATCAAGTGATGCAACAACCAATTCGGAACCGTTAATAATAGTGGATTGCGAGGATGTCATCGAGAAGCATCATGGTGGTAAGTTAAGATATTATTAAAGCTTGGTTAACCCATTAAGTGATAGAAATAATTGAAAAAATTCTAATTTTTTTGTCAATAAACTTTTATTTAGGTCTTTAGAAACAATATTTAAAATATAAACATTTTGGTAGATTTTTTGAACGTTGCGTTAACGCAACATTGGGACCAACCCCATAGTAAATGGAAATTTACATTTGATGCACATAAATACTATCGTGCTTTGATATACCATGCAACGTCGTCTCCACTTTTCATTGTTTTTTGAATTATGTATAACACATTATCGTTACAAAAATTGTGAAACCATGTGAACTGTTGTTGACACTAATAAGGCTTCCTATAACTTCCCATCTAAAATCCAACTGAGAAATTGGTTTGTCATTATATTGTTTGCCTGTGCATTTTTTTAAGCATTTAAATGGCAACCACACTGCATCATCGTTGGTGATGTCCTGTCGGCAATCACTCGAAGAGGCAAACGTATACAACAACGTCACGATAAAGTGGCGAAAAGGACACATCGGAATTAAAGGTCATGATCATGCGGACAGGCTAGCGAAACGGGTGGCTAACAAGTCACCGATCTCCCCTGAACCGGTTGTACCACTAGCTGTTAATACAGCATCAAAACTGATAAACTCCATCTCCCTCTGAGCTTTTTGCGACAGATGGGATGGGACAGCATGGATGCAGGATGGTGCCTTTGCTAAGAAACCTCTGCTCTACCCTGATCGGAAGACATCTACTTAGTTTCTGGGAAAATCAAAAAGTGACTTGAGGCTTCTCACCCACTTCCTGACCGGACACTGCAGGTTACGTAAGCACATGTTTTACATGAAGCTGGTGAATACACCCTCTACAGAGAGGGTGTGAAATGGAAGACGAGACGGTAAGTCATATTGTTTGTGACTGTCCCAACCTCGCGTACTTAAAGGAATCCATTTTCGGAGTACCATGGCTCCAAATTTCGGATATAAGGAACATACCTTTCTGTTCTATATTAACGTTCATGAAAAGATTGGGCTGGTTTTCTGACCCTTGAATNTCTCCACTTTTCATTGTTTTTTGAATTATGTATAACACATTATCGTTACAAAAATTGTGAAACCATGTGAACTGTTGTTGACACTAATAAGGCTTCCTATAAGTTCCCATCTAAAATCCAACTGAGAAATTGGTTTGTCATTATATTGTTTGCCTGTGCATTTTTTAAGCATTTAAATGGCAACCACCATTTTTTCCCTGGTAATAGTATTTGCTGGCGGTAGGTAGGCACCACACTGCATCATCGTTGGTGAAGTCCTGTCGGCAATCATTCGAAGAGGCAAACGTATACAACAACGTCACGATAAAGTGGCGAAAAGGACACAGCGGAATTAAAGATCATGATCATGCGGACAGGCTGGCGAAACGGGTGGCTAACAAGTCACCAATCTCCCCTGAACCAGTTGTACCACTAGCTGTTAATACAGCATCAAAACTGATAAACTCCATCTCCCACTGAGCTTTTTGCGACAGATGGGATGGGACAGCAGTAGGTGTCTTTGCTAAGAAACCTCTGCTCTACCCTGACCGGAAGACGTCTACTTAGTTTCTGGGAAAATCAAAAAGTGACTTGAGGCTTCTCACCCACTTCCTGACCGGACACTGCAGGTTACGTAAGCACATGTTTTACATGAAGCTGGTGAATACACCCTCTACAGAGAGGGTGTGAAATGGAAGACGAGACGGTAAGTCATATTGTTTGTGACTGTCCCAACCTCGCGTACTTAAAGGAATCCATTTTCGGAGTACCATGGCTCCAAATTTCGGATATAAGGAACATACCTTTCTGTTCTATATTAACGTTCATGAAAAGATTGGGCTGGTTTTCTGACCCTTCAATGAACAGTAAGTTGTGGGGACGTACAAAAGGTCCGCTGGGGCCTAAGTGCTGTAAAGTAACTCACCCCCACGTGAAACTACATACATAATCAATTTATCTTTATTCTTCACTGACAAATTTGCCATTGCTACAAAACATATTTCTCTTTCCTTTGACATTGTTTCCTGTTATGCAACATTACTTGAGTTCGATTTGAATCTTCCATGTATAAAGTGACCTCTTCATCTGCCTTGGAACCTTCCTCTACTATTTTTTCTTGGTTTAGGGCACTTTGTAATTAAATGATCTTGACTTCCACAATTAAAGCACTTTGGTTTCTCTCCGGATACAAATGAGCTATCTTTAGAAACTGTAATTTGTTACAATGGGGTTGCTAATGACAAACCTGAAATAAAAAAAGTTGTATTAAATGAAAAAAGTCCTATTGGGGTTGAATTTGATTATTATCTGCAATGCCAACACCTAAAAAAGATACCAGTTCCTGTGAATGGTGGAGTACTAAGTAATAGGTTTTTAATATCCGGTCAAAACCGGATATTATAATAATATTTATCGCCAACCGGCAGCAAAACCATACTTTATGCTATCCATTTGCGGCAGTAAAGTGACACTTTGTGCTACTATCTACTAAACTGTGCATTTAGCGGCAGACAATAGTATACTAAAAAACAAGTTTCGTAAGACACGCTTGAAATGCACGAATTGAACTTGAAAAACGAGTGGCGAAGCCATGAGTTTTTTAATGAATGAGTNCGTATAAAAAAATGTACGAACCTTATTTTGGCCCATTCTATGACTGTACCAAATTGCATCGAAATCGGTGAGACACAGTTGTGACACTTCCCTTGTGAATGCCTGTGTGCACCCGAAATGCCACTTCGACTCATGTTCGGACACGTTGAGACATGTATTTGCGTGTACTGTATATATTACAGTGGGCATATCTGGGTTAAAGCACTTTGGTTTCTCTCCGGATACAAATGAACTATCTTTAGAAACTGCAATTCGTTACCATGAGGTTGCTAAATATGACAAACCTGAAATAAATAAAGTTGTATTAAATGAAAAAGGTCCTATTTGGGTTGAACTTGATTATTATCTGCAATGCCAACACCTAAAAAAGATACTAATTCCTGTCAACGGTGGAGTATTAAGTAATAGGTTTTTAATATCCGGTCAAAACCGGATATTTGGTATCCGTCCGATTTTACAAAATGGCCGAATAGTTGCCGGATATCCGTTCCACCACTAGTTTAGATTAATTATTTTTTTTAATCTATTTTTCTTATCTGTGTGAAACTTGTATGAACAATAATTAACTTACATTAGGTATTTCGTTAAAATTCAAAAATAAAAATGATTATGGGCTATAATATAANCTCTTTCTTTTCTGTTTTATTTTCGCATTCTGCTCCTTCAAAATATCTTTATTTATCCAACCGCGGTTATTTTTTATTTTCTCTTTTTCCAACATTTTCAGCGATTCCGGTGCTAGTTTATTTTGTTTGCTGGGATCAGTTACTAAATTCCGAACGGTCTTCAATAAATACCACTGTCTTTCAAGTGATTTTACGACCGTTTAAGCTTTTCTGGCATTTTTTGCTCATCCACTGGCTTGAACATAAGACTGATATGCTCAAATTTTTCCCTATTTGCATATTGTTTCAGCTTCACTATGCTATTCTCGCAGATTATAAAGTGATGATATTTACTTATACCTTTCAAACAAGTAAAATATTCTTTTAAATATGATATCCAGTAGTACCATGTAACTTGTTTAGCCGAAACTAGTTTGTTGTGACCGCTGGGAGACGAATCGGTGACATATTTCATCAAATCTCTATACGTATCGATATTACTTCGTATTTACATTTAAAGATGTCAAAATACCTATCTGGTGAAAATTCAGTATGGCCCGTGAGAAGGAAATTGTATAAAACAGATTTCTCTATTCCAAAAGCCACTCTCCACAACAGGTATGCCAGTACCGAATTATTTTTATTTTGTACCACGCAAATGTCGGCGAATAGAACGAGATTATCACTTCTAACCAAATTTTCTAAATAATGATGTTAGATATTAACGACACAGTTAGGACCTTTTCCAATGTCCTCTTCATCTATGAGATAATTGTACTGGATTTTTTCTATTTCATTGAAGATACCAAATACAGTACATTTTCTCAGTGCCTTGAAGTACGCCGACCCAGGTTGCTGAGTGCTTACTGGGTAATGCACTGTTTGGGCAAAATCGAATGATAGTACTTGAGTTGGATCTTCAGTGGCACACCATGTTTGATAATAAGATCGTTGATTCTTAGCTTTTTCAATGCGATCTAAAGCTTTTCGCAGCAACTGCTTTTTCATTGCATAATATCGCAGAGATTATCCGCAGGTTTCATGACCGTTGCGTACGGTGTGTACTTTATCCAAATTCTACTAAAAGATTTGTAGCTTAATTGACGTTTGTTTGAATTGAGCGAAGAGATAAAGAGTCTATAAATTGATGGATGGTTCTCGCTTGATGGGAGTTTCAAAACCCGAAAATCTTTAAAATTCGGAAGTCGACCAGGCAGAGGTCAACGCTTTTATGAAGTCAACTACCTTTTGTATCAATCGGGCTTAAGAGCTGCTGGATTCGTACATGGCTTTTTAGTCAAAGCATGTATCCTCGGAGTGACGCCTTTACTATTGAAATACTTCAATAAATTGTCAAACCGACGTTTACCGCAATCGTAAATAAATAGAAACAGCTGTCGGCAAATAGGTACTTTGAAATACATGAACAGTACCTTACTTTTTGAGACTTCAGATTCTTTCCGTACTCCATACTTCTTTCGCCCAGATAATTCAGAATACACCTTTTCTTACTCCTGCGATATTACTGCTTCTATTTTACTCAGAATGGCCAAGTCTTGTTCTCTTTCGATTAGCTCTAAAAATTCCAATTTGGATTGCTCAATCATTTCACGAGGAATTTTAGAAATACATTTTCGGGTACAACAACGACTTTCATTAAAGAATTGGTAAATATTATTGGATTCTTTAACATCTGTATAACTTAAATCGAAACCTACTTCTGTGTTTGCATTAGATGGTCCTAGCTCATCTCCTTCGATGTCGACATCAATATCCTCTTCGGTAATAGAATCATCATTCTTATCGAAATAAATTTCGTTAACAATTTTCAATTCGTTTTCTAAACACATCACAAAACCGCGTTCGCGTAAGATGGGATGCGTTAATCGAGGTATTACTGTATCTAATAACTTCATAAATTGTAACTACTACGCTAACGAATAATGTAACATTGAATAAATGATAGATTTATGTAAAAAACTCACGCGCAGTTGCTACAAACTTTAATCGCATTTATCTCGAAAATAAATTTTCGCACGTAAACCCACTTTTCGTAGTCCAGGTCACATATAGGGGAACCCGGGGCACAACGGGGTACTGGGGCACAATGAAGTTTGACGTTTTTCGGAATAAAGGAGGTGTTACTAGCGACAATAAGTAAAACTAGCCCAACCTGTCACAATTCAAGTACCGCACCCATGTTAGTCTAGTTTTCTCGAGCGTTTGTTCGTGAAGTTCTCGTTGTGTGATTTTTTGCTTTTATAGTGTAATTTCTGATGATTTTGTAACCAAGGTGGGTATACATACTTAGGATGTATGTAAAAATAAAAACTTTTTGAGAAATACTAAAATGTTTTATAATATTCGTTTTATATATTATAATATTCTATGTACTGAACATAGATAGAATATTCTATGTTCAGTACATAGAATATTATACAATATAATGGAATAAAATTATGTTAGTAGGTGGGGTTCAGGAAATCTCTTTTAACTTAATTTACAAATAAAATTTAAATTAAATTTAACAAAATCAAAAAATTAAAAATCTTCAATAATAAAGATATAATCTTGGAAAGTATCGTACTGTAAACAAGTATGTATACTTGTTTACAGCTGCAGTTACTATATGCGTGAAGTACGCTTAATTCTGGTTAGTTTCGTGTATTTAAACGTTTGTTTATGTATTTTTTTTGAGTAATCTGACCGTTCTAACCTAAATCCTATCACTGGGGCGGAACGGGTGGAAATGTCATCACAAATGTCAATATATTTTAGTAAATCAATTTTTATTTATATTCATGTCGATCGTGCAAAAAATGTTGTAACGGTTGTAACCACCACGAACGGTAAGCAATTTACCGTTCTGGATACATATACTATTTCTTCCGACTTCAGATGGTTCGAGTATATAAGAGAAAAACAAATAGGCAATCATGGTCTACAGAGGCAATGAACAATGCTGTTGAGGCGGTTATTACTGGCCAATCGGGGTATTTGAAGGCTTCAAACCAATTTCACGTGCCCCAGTCCACACTGGAAAGATACGTTAAAAAAAGAAAAGAAAATCCTGACTACAAGATTGATAAAACGGCTGGAAAATTTAAAAACGTATTTACGGAAGAGCAGGAACTTGAGATCGTTAATTACTTAAAAAGTATGGAGGCTAGGTTATTTGGTCTAACAATTAAAGAGTTGCGTCACTTAGCTTATCAACTGGCCGTCAGAAATGGCATTGGTAATAAATTTCCAAATGGAATGGCAGGCCAAGATTGGGTTAGTGGATTCTTTAAGAGACATCCTACTTTATCTGTTCGCAAACCTGTAGCATCTGGTGCAAGAGCAATGGGCTTTAATAAAGTAGCTGTGGATAAGTTTTTTTCGTTGCTAACGAATTTAATCGACAAGCACAAACTAACGGCTTCTAAAATATTTAATTGCGATGAAACGGGTGTTTCAGTGAACCCTAAAAACCATTCAAAAATTATAGCTTCCAAAGGGAAACGGCAAGTCGGATCGTTAACATCTTCAGAAAGGGGCGAAACTGTAACCTGCCTTATTTGTATGTCGGCAGACGGAGCTTACATGCCCCCGATGCTCATTTTTCCTCGAAAGAAAAGGCAGAAAGAATTTGAATTGGGATTACCACCAGGAGGGTGGGCAGAGGTGCACAACACTGGATGGATGACTGCTGAGTTATTTCTTGTATGGTTTCGAAGATTTGTAGAATTTTCTAAGGCATCAAAAGACTTCCCGGTTCTTCTTATATTAGATGGCCACTCTACACACACTAAGAACCTTCAGGTTATAGATTACGCGAGGGAGAGTGGCGTTACGTTGCTATGTCTACCACCACATTGCTCTCACAGACTTCAGCCACTCGATGTTTCTTTTATGAAGCCTTTAAGTGTTTATTACAGCAATGAGCTTCGAAAATGGTTACGAAGCAACCCAGGAAAAGTCGTAACCCTTTTTCAAATTTCAACGCTTTTTGGATCAGCTTTTATTCAAAGTGCAACAATGAAAACTGCTATTAATGGTTTCCAAGCTACAGGAATATGGCCAACTGACCCATCCATATTCACCGATGTCGATTTTCTCCCAGCAGACACAACTGACATCGGACTTGATAGGCCTTCAGGTGAAGAGGTGATCATATCTGAAGCTGAACAATTGAAATTGCCTTCGCCTAGCACAGGCGTTAAAAAAGACATGCCTATCAGGTTGGATGATAAAGCTGGCGAGGTTTCAGTCAACTCTAATGATGAGGCTAATTCTGCCACTCCTGGTTGCTCTTGGATGACAACAGATAACAGGGCCTCTTCATTTCATATTTCACCTACTATTCTAATGCCTATCCCAAAAGTTAAAGAAGGCCCGAAAAGGACGAATCGGAAGAGGGGAAAGACCGCGGTCTTAACAGATTCCCCATACAAAAAGGAGTTAGAAGCTGCTATTCAGGAAAAAGAGGAAAAGAATTTTGACAAAGAAGAAAGAGCAAGGAAAAGATTATTTAAGAAAGAGAACAATAATAAAATAAACGGAAAAAATAAAAATGGAAAAAAGAAGAAGCTGAAGAGAGAAACCAAAACTAACGAAAGTGATTCTGAAAGTTGTTCTGACTGTGAATGTTTATATTGCGGTAAATTGTACTCAAAGTCAATTGAAGGTTGGGCCGCTTGTTCCATGTGCAAAAAATGGGCAGACAATTCTTGTGCGGCAATAGATAGCGAAGATGAGCCTCATCATCTTGAAGATGATGAGGCTGTTCTAGTGTGTGCATTTTGTGAATAGACTGAACCGAAATCCATGAAACACAAAATCAAAATTATTTTTTATGCATTTTTACTAGTTTTATGTTTTTGTAATTATTTGTCCTTACTGCCCCATGCCCGGGGCAGAACGGGGTAAATGACAGTACTCATAGAAAATTTTGCATATGTTTTAATTAATCCTTTTGTAGTTTAAAACATATTTTTAAGTTGGTACCCCATTCTGCCCCGAGTTCCCCTACGATGAATCGCACAAATTCGTGGTCTCTTACCAATTTTTTTTAGGTAAGGGTACACCGGCTTTCTATATTTTAATTTTTCTGCAAATTTGTGTATGCTTCCGTACTATTATGGGTAACTACATACACGTAACACCATGTTTCAACGTGTTTATTCTTTATTGATAGAATCAACTACTATAAATAGTTATAAAACTTTTAGTCTAACGTGTTACTTTTCATGACAACATGAGATCGAACAATATGGCGTGTTGTATATTGGGTCACATATCTTATACTATAACAAAAATGATTATGGGCCATAATATAATCATAACATAACCTTAAAAGTTGAATAGAGAATGGCGAGGACGTAGAATTCGTTTTTGTTATAAACACATGCAAAATTGTAGGGTAAAATTAAGTTTTTGTGTTATTTCTTATTTATAAAACTAAAAACTACAATTTAGGTTGTGCAAAATCATCTGAATATAAAAGCATGGAGTAACAGGATATAAATTTAAGGTTACAACTATCCTGGTGGCCCTTTCATTACAGAACCATGTTACAGAATAAATCAAGTTGATTTGTAACATGTTATACAGCACATTTTCTTTGGTGAAGCTCTATACATTATTATTAAGTGGAAAATAGTATGTTTACAGACAATATTCTACCTCAAAAGGACATTCACCTTACTCGTGATATCACCAAAGAGTTTGCAATAAATATGCCACCACATCGAAAATCCTGTCAAGATAATGAAACAACAATCTTAACACATAAATTTAATGATGAGGATAATCCAGATCTCTTAATTTTTAAATCTATTTCTTCCTATATGTGCCATAAAGAATGTGATAATTGTTTAAAAATATTTTCTGCAATCGAAACTCTAGAGAATGATATCAATTTAGAAAACATAGCAATAAATGGAATTAAGAACACCGATCTTCATACAATTAAACCTAACTCTTCAACTAAACCACAAGATAGAAACATAAATTTATATTGTTCATCCTGCAATTTTATCTCAAAAGAAGAAACTGATTTAATGGTTCATTCTAAAATGATTCATCACGATCCCAATCCTTTTAAATGCACCTCTTGCGATGACGAATATCCAACTTATGTTCAGTTAGGAAAACATTTAGAAGAACACCTTGAATCAAATAACAAGATTACTTGCCGACGATGTTCAAATTCAATTACTATTGAAGAGATTATGTTACATCTAAATTTATGTAAAAAGTATCTACCATATGAATGCCAGCAATGTTCAAAATGTTTTGCCATAAATGAGACTAGATTGAATCATGAAAACGGACACAACAAGATGTGTGATTATTGTAATATATGTTTCTTTTTACTAGAGGATTATGAGAACCATTTAAAAGATGTTCATATTATGAATAAGGCGTTTAGAATGGATGCGGTGAATTTGATTTCTAGGGATAGTGAAGGGGGATCAAGTGATGCAACAACCAATTCGGAACCGTTAATAATAGTGGATTGCGAGGATGACATCGAGCATCACGGTGGTAAGTTAAGATATTATTAAAGCTTGGTTAAAATGATCTCAGAATTATACAGGGTCATTAGAACTTTACAGTGTTCTGGCCAAAACAAAAATTTGAAAATTCAGATTTAAGTATTATTAATTGTGTTCTCTTCGACTAAAATATTTTCAGATTTCTAGCACTCGGTTATACCGGAAGTCGCCACCTATTTCATTTTTTTAGTGGAACACCCCGTATATATTTACATATTTGGATTTGTCTGTTTTCAAGGTTTATGAATAACTTTGCTTTTTTCAATTTGATTCCGCCGTTCTCGAGTCATTCGACTTTTTTTAGAAAAATCTGCTCCAGTAGACATTTGTTAAAAGAATCAGAGAACACTCGATTTTTGGGATATCAATTTAGGATTTAAAACATGCGTAAGCAACATGATGGAGTATGTTTGGTGCCGAGTACGGCTGTCTAGAACGTTTGGTCACTTTACTATGGCACGTTAACATTTCGAAATTTGTGCTAGTGAAAAATATACGGACCAATCAAATTAAAATATGGCTAATTGAATAAAATATTTTATCTACAACTATTGAATTATCTATTCGTTATACAATTGATTTTTGACGGGTAATGATATGCATTACCCATGGCTGACAAAGTGTTGAATCATGAAGCCATTATTCCACAGTTCTGACACGGCCTACTAATCAAAAAATAAAATATTAACAGAAATGACAGCTTTCTTATATTGAGGTTATGTCTGAAAAGTCTATCAAGTTTANTTTACAGTACGTGAAAGTGTTACTAAGAAGTTTTGTTCAGAATGAAAAACTATGGCTGTATGCAAATTTTCGGAATGATCGGCCTACTTTGGTAAAAATCGTTTTATCTGACACACAAGCAGTTTTCGCTTCAGTGTCAACACTCACTTGTTTTTTAAAACTTGAAAATATGTTCAAAATTAGTCTTTCACCAAGCAGGGCTAAACTCCAAAAAATGACAATTAATATCGCAAAATTTTACATTTTATAAGAGTCGTTTCACCTATCCGGGGACACACTGTATAAGGATCAGAGGTGTATAGTAACGTATTGAAAACATCTTGATTGGTGGTAATCCTTGAACATTTCCAAGATTTCCGAGCGTTATGTAACCAATTTGTTGTAATCTTTATTTCTAGCTTCTTGTGCATTTTTTGAAAGTTGTCCTATTGGTAATATAGCATATTGTATGATGCTTTCACCGTGAATAAGTATTTTGTGTACTGAAGCAGGCATGTAGTACTATTTATATAGCTCTACATAAAGTTCTGCTGTTTTATATGCGTATTCTCCAAACTTTTTGGAATCTATGGCTCTGCCGCTGGCTAATGTTGGAAGAATTATGAAAATTTTTTTAATTAAATCCTCATCTACTCCTGTACTAACTGCTGTGCAAGAAAGATTAGAAAAGAATCTTCTAGCAGTGTTATCATCGTTGGAGTTTCCAGTATCTTGTATCATCTCTAAATCGGTCTTGTACTTGTTTTTTTCTTAGTCTCAATCTTATGTAAAGGATCAACTATTTTTTAAAAGAAAGATTGTACGAGATATGGAACCAACTTCATAAATCTGATCCAAGCGTGAAGATTTTTAGTCTGCGTTTATAACTGTATTCATTATTTGACTTTTTTTTCCTGAAGATGGGGATAATTAGTCCCCGGAACTAGTAGAATAAATAATAATTAATTACATCGTTAATGTGCAAAAGTGTTTTAATTAATTTAAATTTAATTTTAATTAACTGTTCAAAAATTTTGAATATTTTTAGCACACGTATTTCAAATTTCCAGGTATTCAACGTAAAAAAAAATGATCCGCTAAAAAATAAATATATTTTTCTTAAATATGTATTCTTTGAATATTTCTAATTCAAATAATTGTTTGTTCTAGATCGTACTCAAAATAAAGAAAATCAACACATACCCAATAATGCCATAAAATGTAGAAACTATAAAATTCAAAGAGACGGAATGATATGCTTGTATTGTCCAGAAATTCTTCCTACCATTAGATCGTTAGAGAACCATTGCAGTAAAGTACACAATCAAGGACTAATTTACGAATGTTTCACTTGCAATAAACGCTTTTCATCTATAATCGATCGTAGATTACATTTACGTCAAAATCACAGCGGTTCTATTATCGTTTGTAAATATTGTAAAGAGTCTTTAACTAACGAAATAAAAGCGAATATGCACATTTTAAATTGTACTGCAAGATTAAAAATAAGTTACGAATGTTTTACTTGTAATGACCAGTTTAAAACGACGAACGAACGGAAACACCATTTACTTTTAATACATGAATCTTATTCACAAGTTTTTTGTAAAATTTGTAAAAAGTATATTTGCGAAAAAGAAATTAACACTCACGTTTTGGATTGTGTTCAAACTTCTTCATTTAATCAAAAGTACTGTGAAGAACAGGACGAAATAATTTCTGTAATTGATTCGGAAAATGATTTCGATGATGATCTTTTGAAACCACTTCACTCTGATTATGAAGATATTTGCAATGATATTGAAACGTTCGAGGGTACAACAAGTACTCCAAATGAAAGTCTTTATTACAGTATTCGAGATGATGTACAGTCTAAACAAAGATCGCCAAAATGGTGCTCGTATTGCCCCACTCAATTTGATACCATTTTTGGATTAATATCACACACAAAAAAGGTGCACAATACTTTATTAATACATGAATGTTATAGTTGCGATAAAATTTTCCATTGTGTAAGCGATCGACAAATTCATATGCGTAAGGTGCATGGTGTAACAAAAAAAGGAAATATCATGTGTAAATATTGTCAAATGATCTCTCTAGAATCTAACATGATTATACATTATTTTCAATGTAAAAGAGAATATTGGTTAAAAACTGGTGGTTTGAATGAAAATGTGTGCGCAAGTTCAAACGACGATGTGGATAATACTCATAACTTAACCCATAAAGATACATCTAGCGATTCTAATGAAGTAACCGATGATGAAATGACTGAAATTGTTAATCAATCGTTAAATCAACCTTCAGATTTTTCGTCTTCTTTATCTCAATTGTATTCTACTTACGATTTAACAGTATGCAAAGTGGTATTGAAAGACGTGTTTAAATGTAGTGAGATGGATTATGACGAAATTTGTGAAAGTAATCATAATGATGAATCTAATGAGAATGAAGATGAAGAGGATAATGAAGACGAAGATATACTGAATAGTTCGGAAGAAAACAAATCTGAATCGATGATTAAAGTTAGTTTTAAAAGTACAAAATTAAATGAATCTCAAAATAATGATGGACGACATATTTTAATCCATCAACAAATAATTTTGATGCCTGAAGCAAATGGCGATAATAAAGAAACCTCTGATGATATGGTTGTTGATGACTTTGGTGATGATGATGCAATCGATATTGATGACACTGGGTTTGACCCTATGATTGAAGAATCTTTGCAAACAAACACTGGTAATGACTACTGTGTAATCTCATACGTTTTTTTAATATTTATTTTTACATTTTTTTAGTACCTTCTAAAGTAATAGATGATAATGTTGCTATTAAAGAAGAATGTAGTGCTACGGAATTAGAATCTCCAAAAATAGGTATTTGTATAAAATTTAAATTCACTTAAGTAACACATACTAATATTAAGAACGATAAGAAATTTATTGTTTTATACTAGTAATGAGGGTTATGTAAATAGTGGAAAGTGTATGATTGTTGAGAGATTTAATGTGAACTATGGTGTGGAGTAAAAGTATGGAAGGCGACGATCAAAAAAATACAAATCCAATGCTACCTCACAATCAAATATTGATTAATTAGCTTTTGTGCTATTAATTAATAAAAATTCGAGAAAATTGCACGCAACTTTTAAACGAATTTTCGCCTCATAGATCTTTCACAGGATAGATCACCAGATACATAACGAGCGGTATGGATATCGGTACGCGGTCTTGCGGTGGTTGACTTTTACCTAGTCGACTATCCTGCGAGAAATCTAAGAGGCCTCTCCTCCAAAGTTGCGCGAACCGCAATTTTCTCGAATTTTTAGTAATTAATATCATAAAAAACCGGCTACGCACGAACCACGTCGATATATTATGATATACAGTACACGTTATATTTAGCTTTTATGATATTGATTAATAAAAATTCGGGGAAAATACGGCGCGTGAATTTTCTGCGCTTGATGATTTTCGATTCCTTGTTCGTCATGTGAGCTGTCCAGGATATTTTGTGAATTTGTCTATACATCCACATCTCAAAACCTTCCAGTTTTTTAGACGTGGCTTCTGTCAAGGTTCATGATTACATGCTTTCTAACACTGTGGACAAGATAGCATCTTAGATGTCTTACTTCTGTTTCGAGGAATATGTTGTAAATTTTGAACATTTTGCTCATTCTATTGAAAACTGCCATGGCTTTTCTTATACGGCATTTTATGTCTTGTTGTACATCTGTCTATTGCTCATTTAGTATACAGGCTGTCCCGTTAAGGGTACGGAGCGGCTGTATCTCGACAACGGTAAGGCCTGTAGGTTTGGGAAAAAAATCCTTATAAGCAAAGTGGGCAAGAGAAATAGCTGGAAATTATTTTGAAGACGATGAGCTATAACTTTGACAACATCATTTAGTAGCTTGGATAATACCGCATCGCTTTTGTTTTGCGATATTTCTCATATCTGTCATAATAAGGGAACGCATTGGCCTCCCCAATGCGTTTTCAAATGTTTACATTTTAATATCACCTGGACCATTCAACCGATGTGAATATTTTTGGTCTTGTTTGAAAGAGCATTTCATGCTCTTTTAAAAGATATTTTCAGTAAGACCGCTTGGTTTAAAACAAATAAGCTAGAGGGCGTTATCTGCAGCGGTTACATATTTTTGTGATTTTTGAAAAAAAGTTAAATGGAACGGTACTATTTACTTCACAGACCGTTAATCACCATAAAATTTGCTAAATATTAGTGAAAACCGCATCTCGATATCTCCATCCATTCTCGAATTATAAAAGAAAATGTTAAAAATTCGTATATCTTAATCGGATCAAGTTACCTTAGGAAACAAATAAGAGAGAACAAAAATTTTATTATCTAGAACCTTCCTTCACACTTTATCCAAGCTTAGAACTGCTTCAAAACTACTTTTGAGGCGTGTTGAAAAGCCAACGGATCAATGAAACATCAACAATGATAATAAAACAAAATAAACCAAAACACTTAGAATAACTTAAATTTTTGGCAAAAATAACTCACTAATGTGCGAAATGCCTTCCATAAACCTCGATGCATTTATTTAATCTAGTTTCGACTAAAAAAAAACGCTGTTTAGGTCACGGCCTAAACGTCTCGACGTTTCTACTGACATTTAGTGTTTTGTCATATTTTCCCTGGTTATTGGTTTTCCTTGAAAAGTCAGGTCGGTTAGTCTACCCAATAATGAAATAATTTAGACAAAGGGGTGAAAGCAATGTGGATTTTGCTCGAACCAAGAATGCATATTATGCAAATTTACACCAGCTTGTGGAGAGATGCTTCATGTATCCATAACATTTGTGATAAAAGGTTTGGATTTGCCCAAATCATATTTAAAAGTCAATGATAATAGTTCAGTCTGTTATCATAATCGGTATCTGTTAAGGCCTGATGTAAAACAATGTGGTGGAGATATAATTCTCTTGAGGAATCTTGTAGACAATTGCGCACCAATGTGATTCACGAATTCATAAAGATGTCTGAATGGGCTACATGTTGCCAGTTTTCCGTAATCGCTAAGTCAATCTTAAAAACACTTCTAGAGAAAAATGTCTTTCTTTGTCATAATTGCATTGCACATTTTTGTCATGCAATTGCATCGTATTCGAAACATTGAAAATAAATCATCATACGCTCTATCATACGCTTCTGCGTTAGTAAATGATATGTTTACAGTTACCATAGTTATGTGATTTGTTTTTCTCGATGAGGTAACTGGATTCGATTGATGGCACTCGAGTTTTTAACATTTTCTTCTATAATTCGAGAACGGGTGGCCATATCCAGATGCGGTTTTCACTAAAATTTAGCAAATATTGCTATTGAGGTGTATAGAAGGCATTTCGAACATTAGTGAGCTATTTATGCCAAAAATTTAAGTTATTCTAAGTGTTTTGGTTTATTTTGTTTTATTATCATTGTTGGTGTTTCATTGATCCGTTGGCTTCTAAACACACGTCAAAAGTAGTTTTGAAGCAGTTGTAAGCTTGGATAAAGTGTGAAGGAAGGGTCTAGGTAATAACATTTTTGTGCTCTCTTATTTGTTTCCTAAGGTCCGATTAAGATATACGAATTTTTAACATTTTCTTCTATAATTCCAGAATGGATGGAGATGTCGAGATGCGGTTTTCACCAAAAATTTAGCCAATTTTATGGTAATTAAGGATCTGTGAAGTAAATAGAAGTAAATATCACAAAAATATGTAACCGCTGCAAATAACGCCCTCTAGCTTATTTGTTTTAAACCAAGCGGTCTTACTGAAAATATCTTTTAAAAGAGCATGAAATGGTCTTTCAAACATGACCAAAAATATTTAAATCGGTTGAATGGTCCAGGAGATATTAAAATGTAAACATTTGAAAACGCATTGGCCTCCCCCTCCCTTATTATGACAGATATGAAAAATATTGCAAAACAAAAGCGATGCGGTATTATCCAAGCTACTAAATGATGTTGTCAAAGTTATAGCTCATCGTCTAACTTTCTGAGATAGCGGGAATTTTATGTTTCTCTATGGCAGTTACGCCCCCTAGCGGTCGAATTACGAACTTCAAAATAATTTCCAGCTATTTCTCTTGCCCACTTTGCTTATAAGGATTTTTTTCCCAAACCTATAGGCCTTACCGTTGTCGATATACAGCCGCTGCGTACCCTTAACGGGACACCTGTATACATAGACTCAGCTCGTCGTGACAGACCCTGTACAGTCCTAGAAGAAGTATTTTTTAAAGAACAGATTATATCACGAACCTCAATTAAACCGACCGGTTCCAGGTAGAATTTCCTTTTAAAAATTCTTTTGGTGGTATAGTGATATTCGATAGCAGCTGATTAAAGTTAGTTGTCAAGTTACCCCGCTGAATTTTATTAACAAAATCTAGGGGAACATTTATAAAGTAATCATCGTAATCATTTACTTCATTTGGGTCAAACGTTGCTTTAGTATTAGTTGTCTTGCTTATTCGATGACCATTCACTATTTTCCACATATACTTACATGAATATTTTTTTGTTTAAAAATCTCATCGTTATATCTTACTTTAGCATCCTTTATTTTGTCTCTAATAATTTTTTGTCAGCAAGTTAAGTTCTCGCTTTAGTTTCTCACAACCTGTAACATTGTGAATATCTCTTAAGAAGTGCAGGAGATTCCTCATGCCCTTGAGCCAGTGGCGTACCTAGGGTAAATGGCGCCTATGGCAAACACCGATCTTGCGCCCCTCTCCGACGATAGGTTACTTACGTTTTATTTTCTAAAAAAAACTACTTTAGAATTGGGTGAAAAAAGCACACAAGTTAAATCTATTAACACTTTATTACAAATTTATCTTTCTTGCTTTAGCTGACGTAAATTGTTTAATTATATTATCAAAATCAATTTCTTCGGTCATTTCTCAAATATGAAAGTATCAATTTTAATTTGCTAAATGATCTTTCGCAACAGAAATAGAAACCGCGATTGTCAGCAATATTTGCAATGCTATACGCATATTTCAAAAGTTAAACGTTTTCATCTCCATACTGAACTATAAAATTAAGTAATTATTCGGGGCTTGATATTTTTCCGGTACGGCTTGTTAGCAGCGTTCTAAAATCCAAAATTTCTTCTTATACTTCTTGCCCATCCACATCACAACTGTAGGCTTCTCCAATTTTTCACAACGCTCTTTCAAACTAGGCTACTTAGCTTGTTTCGGCTTTAAAACACAACCCTTCCATATCAAGAAGAAATCCAAATTTTTCATCAATTTCTTGTAAACGAACGCTTCTACTTTTTAATTCATTGAATAGACGGTCGACAGTCCGTCTATTGAAACCTTTCATAACTCTTTCCATTTCTTCTTTAGCTGATAAACCAGCATCTCTAGATGTTTCGCCATTTCCATTCTTTTCTTTCTTCTTTGACGTCTTTCAAATTCAATGTCCCATTCATTGCAAATTCGAATTCCTTCTTTCAGGGAGTCACTAAGTAACACTTCTCTCTCATCATGAAAATAATTTTGGCGAGCTTTTAAATCTAAAGCTGCTTCATGAAAGTTCATTTTAGGGTCCTGCAAACTCTTTTGAACGCGGTCAATACGAATTAAGATCTTGTTCCAAAACCCTAGCAACGTTAGAAAGTCATATGTTAATATTCGATTATAGAGTTGCTTTGCGTCGCTTTTAGTTTCACTAGTCGCGCTTTCATCGTCCATTATGTTCTGGAGAACTTCCACTATTTGCTCGATTTGCTATTGGGTCAAAATTAGAAATTAGTTTCAACAAACAAAAGTAAATTTCCTGTATTAAAATCTGACTGAAGTAACTCTCTGTGGCCTCGCAAAGCCAGGTTTTATATCGCAAGGTATTGGATGCAGTGTAAAAGTCTTTTCAAAATATCACACCACTTCTGACTTTCTCTTTAAATTTGCTTTTGAAGGTCTGCATCAATTATGCCTCTGTTGTTAAGTAAATTTCTTTCCAGTGNAGCCATAACAGCAGCATTATCATAGCACTGTGACCTACAATCTTGTAAATTCATATTGTCTTTCTCTAGTGCTTCAATATTTCTTGAACCAAGCTTGCAGCGTCCTTCTTTAATCTGAACAGTTTTTTTCTCAAAATTTATATCAACATATCTTACTACCTCGGACAGTTCACGATGAGCTTGATCAGGAGTCGAGTCAAACATTAGCCCATAATACTTTGCTTTACGTATTCTTTCTAGCAAACTATTACGAACCAGTAGATGCCATGATGTGAATAAACTCGTTCTGTATTTTCGATGAAAGATATGAAGTGGATCCAGGATGGCTCTCCGCAAATCTTATGTGTTCTTTTACGACAGGGTCAAAATTAGAAATTAGTTTCAACAAACAAAAGTAAATTTCCTGTATTAAAATCTGACTGAAGTAACTCTCTGTGGCCTCGCAAAGCCAGGTTTTGTATCGCAAGGTATTGGATGCAGTGTAAAAGTCTTTTCAAAATATCACACCACTTCTGACTTTCTCTTTGAATTTGCTCTTGAAGGTCTGCATCAATTATGCCTCTGTTGTTAAGCAAATTTCTTTCCAGTGAGTAAAGCATTGTCGATGATTTTTGGAATTATCATGAACACTGATTCTCTCAAGTGCTTTCCATTGCTTAAATCCGCTTTCTTGCTCCAAACTAGATTGGTTATCGAACCGGGAAAAAAGAAGACAGCAAATACAAAAGGCAGACTTCACTTGCTCACCAAGACCATTTCCTAATTTTTTTTCTGAACCAAGTTTTGAAAATACTTAGAACCGAGATTTATCATTTCTATTCTCAACGCATTAGTTACAATTGTCTTTCCCGATTCTTAACTAAACTTAAGAAGTCCGATATCGTGTTCTACAATCGCTCTAGATACGGGATTTTTTATATTTTCTGCGTCTTTGGACATCAAGTTTTTATTTACTTCAACGTCATCAGTATCTATTTCTTTGTCAGACCCATCTTCTAATTCTTCAGAAGTAGCATACTTTCTAGAATTAGAATTCTCTGAAGACCTTGTTAAAATATTTTCAGTTATCTTTTCTGCATCATTAGTTGTCGTATCAAATTCTTTCTCGGTTGACCTTGGCCCAGTATCTTTCAATTCTTTAGAATTTGCAGAATTTTCAAGACATTCTGAAGAAATCGTGTTTGTGCTTGACTTTTTAAAAAACGTATTAAAACTTTTGCTGCTTTTTTCTACTTCTTTTGCCTCTAACAAGCGTCTTTTTGGGCCTGCAGCTCCACTTTCTTTCTTCTTCTCAAATGAACGTTCTCAATTCTCAGGTACTATTTTCTAAAGTATAAAAAAAGAAAACAATTACTTATAATTTGCAATTTGCGGAAAATAATATTGTTTTAAATACGAACACTGATTAACAGCCATTTTTAAAAAATCACGAAATAAGATTTTATAAACATATGAATAAATATACGATATTCTTCAAGAAGTACATCATTTACAAATTTCACTTCAATATCGTCATAGTAAAGAAATTAACATTTTTATTAAAGTTCCCTTTTAGTAGAATAGAATTTAAATTTAAAACCAATTTTAACTACTTAAAAAAATATAAAAATAAATATTTACCTTAATATCTCTTAGATTTATAAAAAAAAATACTGGCCACTTTAACACTCAACAAATTTTACGTTTAAAACGTAATTTAGATATTATTCAGGATCGAAAAACTATCAACTATGTATGAATTGAGCAACAGACTGCAAAGAGACCGATCCTCGTTTATCGTACCTACGTTAGAATATCGATGCAAGTGCTACGCGACGGGGATTCCCCGTAATCCGAACGGCTTTAGCACAGAACACAACACACGCTACTATTCTGCATTTCTTTTTTTCAAATACAAAATCATATTTGTTGAGAGAAAGGGAGCTAGAGGCATAGAGAACATGGACAAACAAACGAAAAACGAATGCGTGCTTTTTCCTACTCAGTTTTATAATACACATATTTATATCTATAAAAACATTTTTTAATTTTCATTTGCGTATTTATACGTTAGGCGCTCTTTCGCGCCCCCCTTCAGTTGGCGCCCATGCCGTTAGTTACGCCTCTCTGCCTTGAGCTCTGCAGAAAACCAGCTTGTGCGTTTCTTATTACTTTGCACAATTATTTTTTTCCGGAAATACGCTACGAAATGCATGAAGGATAAAGTTCATGAAATTTATCAAACTTTTGATTGGCAGTCAAATCATTATGCGATATGAAATCCCAATTTATATCATATACAGAGTTATAGAACAACGTCTTTCCATGACTCCTATAATAAAAGGTAAAATCGAGGGCCGCAGAGAAATTGGAAAGACGCAAATGCAATGGCTAAGGAACATTCGTGATTCGACCAGAATACGCGTGCCGAATTATCTATTTAGATTAACCGAAAGCAGCGAACAACTCGCCCATGTGATTGCCAACGTTGGGGGGGACCTGATATAGCTCAGAAAGAAAAACAAGAAACAAATTAGGTTTATGCCAATTCATACCAATTATTTTTTATCCGTATCTAAACCAATGTTGTCAAAACTTCATCAACGGTTAAATCAATTCTGTTCAAAGTTATTTTAAGTTCAATAAACCATCGTTGTAAGTGCTTTCGTAGTTGTAGATGATTAATTTTGGGAACTGATTGAAGATTATGTAAATTTTTATTTTCTCAAATTCAATGTGAAGTTAAAAAATTAAAATAATAAATTCATTAAGTTTAAATAAGAGTTACTGCGATATAAGTAATGTCAGAATCATCCCCGTTAAATTGTTCCAGTTTTTCGTACATACTAAATTGAAAAGAAACTTGGATAGATTTAAGATAAGTTAAATAGACTGCTGAGGTTGTGAATGTTAAATCACGTTATTTAATTTAATAATTAGTAGTTATGGCACAAGTTGTCTTGGTGTTAGGTTATTTTATTATTGATGTCGGATGGTAACAGTTGTTATATAATTTTGTTTCAGATCGAATAATTCTCAACACACCTAACAAAATTGAACCGACATCAAGCAACGTTAAAATACAATGTCCTTGTTGCAACCGAAAATTTACAAACGACGAAAATTTGGTTAAACATCGCTTAATGGTTCATCGAAATGTATTATACAAAAATCATTCGTGCAATTTGTGTTTTAAACAGTTCTCCACAGAATATGATAAGATAAATCATAAATGTATGAATTGATCGGAAGCGTTTATTATTTGTATTATTTTTTTTTTTATAATTGTGTTATATTAATTATTTTCCAGAAATAAATTTATTTTGTTTACGAAAAACATTTGTTTAATTTAATTTTTGAGGTGGTGAAAATATTAAAACGTTGGTTGCCTCGAAAAATTGGATCAATTTCGGTTTATTACCGCATGGTCGAATACCGTGCGGTATTTAGCATGCGCACGAGACCAGACCGCCAAAATACTGAAGTGTAAATTTCATTCCGCTCGTTTCGCTGTGAAGAAATGCACCATTAACGTCTCCACGTATGATATTTGAAAACGATGAACATATTTGGATGTTTTATTGTATCAATCATTTACTTATCACTTTTATTTAATGGTAAGTTTAATGTGTTTTAAAAATCGCATGATCTTCGAATTAAAAATCTGAACAAAAATAAAATTCATTATTAAAATATTCTTATGTCATTTTGCTCAAGCATGTTATAAATTAAATATTTATGTTATATTATTTATAAACAATTTTTATAAACAATATTTTTTTAATGGAACTTTAAATAGTCGAAGGTGACTAAAAGAAAATTATTTATTTACTTATTTTTCTTCTTACATTTTTATAAATTGAGCTTGTTTTGCTGTAACACAGTCGATGTTTCCTACCACCGGTAGTAACCTGCGGCAGCAGGAACGTGTGTATTACGAAAATCGATATCCTTACACAGCAAAAGGGGAGTGTATATGTGAAACAGATCGACAGCAATAAGAGCAAAGAAAACATCTCCTGTTCTAACCCTTTAAAAAATAACATTTTTTTTATTCAATGTGGCATTTTTTTCAAATACTTTTATATTCTATTATTTAAATACTGTAAATTCACATAATAACTGCAATTTTTTTGAAAAATTAGGAGATAAATAAATTTAAAAATTAACTTAAAAAATTGTTGAGGATCATAAAGAAAGTGAATAATCATTAATTCACAAGATCAATCAAATCTTGAGATCAATCAAATGAGATTCAGCAAAACTCATTCGCAATGAGTATTCATACAGAGTAGTTGTTTGGCATCGCTCTCCCTGGTATAATTTACAAATCTGTTTAAAATGTACGGTACTAGAGGTAAAACCGGTGGTTCTATAGTAGATGAAGTATTGTGGAGAAGATAATTAACAAATTATTTCTATCGGACGAATTTTTCGAAAAAATGTCGCAAAAAGTAAGTGAAAAAGTTGTCCATAAGCTACGAAGTCAACTCGATGAAGCAAATCGGGAAGTTAAATATCTTAAAAAGCAGTTGAATGAGGTTGATTCCAAATGTCGAAGAGCTTGAACAATATACAAGAAAGGATAATCTTCGTATTCATGGTTTAACTGAAATGGAGGCGGAGAAAACCGATGAGTTGATTATCAACTTATTTCGTGAAAAACTGGCTCTTGATATCTAGCCGTGTGACATCAGCGAGGTAAAGAAGATGGGACAAGACCGATTATTGTGCGATTAAGAAATCATAACGCAAAGAAGAAGATCTACAACAATAAACGTACGTTGAAAGGAACTAAAATCGTGATCAAGGAAGATCTTACGTCTCATAGAGCCTACTTGTTAAAAAAAGCCACAAAAAAGTTGGGTACCAAAGTTGTCTGGACAAATAATTGTCGTATTTTTAGAAAATTCAAAAATAGAAAGATTCAGATCTCTTCTCTGGATGACATAGCAACTAACATACTCAAGGGAGCGGATGGCGTTTAGTCGCAGAAGAGAGTAGTACGCAGTGGTGAATTTTGTTTAGTTTTCATTATTATTATTATTACTTTTATTTTGTTTTTTGTTTTGCTTTTTTTTTTTTTTTTGATTTGTAGTTATTATCTTTTTCTGTATATAAATTGATTATTACTTCATTAATTTAATTTGATGTAAATTACTTCGCATTGTTATGATGTCAGGGGCTACTTATCGGGCATTTAAATATTCGTTCACTACTTCTAAAATTAAATAGTGTATCTCAAATTTTATGTGATATGAAATATGATATATTTTGTGTTTCTGAAACTTGGTTATCTTCAACTACATCTGATGACATGATAAACATTGATGGTTATAAATCTTTCAGGAGGGATAGAGTTGGGCGTAGAGGTGGCGTGGCTATGTATATGCGCCAGCATTTGCAGAGTGATATCATTAATTGTATGGCTGATTATGAGTAGGTATGGGTCTCTATCAGGACCAAATTGGGTATAATAGCGATTGGTTATGTTTACAATCTCCTTGGTTTAAATAATGTTCTCTTTAACAGTCAACTGGAATCCCAGTTGAGCTTAAAATGTCTTATGATTATGTGTTGTGTCTTGGTGATCTAAACATAGATTTATTGAATTTGCATAGTGCGGACACCAAGAGATTATTGTCTGTTTTTGAATCACTGTACTTAGTACAATTGATTCAGAGTCCTGCAAGGATTACTGCTAATTCTTCTACGTTGCTGGATATAGTCGCCATGTCTGCTGCTATATAGTCACTATGAAATTGTATACTGTCACACTGGGTCCACCCATCCACCGGTTAAGCCGTTTTGTTATACATATAGATTATTCTTCTTTTTTCCCACAAGATTTTAAAAATGATTTAAATAACGCTCCGTTCAACTGTATTTTTTAACCAAACAGTCTTAGATTTGTTTAATTTACATGCACCGGTAAAGACGGCACTGATTACTAGGCCGAGGATGCCGTGGTTGACAGATAATATCAGATTATTACAGAATTTGAGAAATAAAGCTAAGGCGAGGTTTAGAAGAACTAACATTGCTGCTCATTGAGATTATTACAAACAATTAAGGAATTATACAACACTTGCGTTACGTAATGAAAAAAGGCCCATTTTGAATATCTGCACTCTCAGACCAGTTGTGGTAAATTGTGGAGTGCCATTCGATCCATTAATGCTGTGCGAAATAATAAAAGGCAAATACCAATCACTTTAATGAATGCTTCTGAAATTAATGCCGCTTTTCTTGATGATCTCTTCATCATAAATAATGATGAGAATGGTGAGGATGAACTCATTGATAATTACTATAATACCGTATTTGACAATATAGGTATGAACTTTAGGCTGGCATTCGTTGATGAAGACACGGTACGAAAAATAATACTAAGTATAAAAAGCAAATGTGTTGGGTGGGATGGCATTTCCATTGACATGATTGGGATGATGCTTTCTCGTATACTTCCTTACATCACACATACATAATATAGAGTTAATATAGGTATAATGAACAGTTGCATAGAGTTTAATTACTATCTTGAACAGTGGAGATCGGCTATCGTGCTTCCACTACCAAAAAATTCTTCGCCAACAGCTTATAAAGATCTGCGTCCTATAAGTATACTACCTGCTCTCAGTAAAATATTGGAAAAGATTATATGTGGTTAGTTGAGAGAACATTTGAACCTTAATAATATTCTGCCTGATTGTCAATCAAGGTTCGTCCCTGGCCGAAGCTTTATTACATGTTCCGGATGACCTTATAAGAGCATTGGTTCTTTTGGACTTTAGCAAAGCGTTTGATACTATCAACCATCGTGTATTGTTGGCAGGTTTTCGACATGTTGGTTGTGATGAGTCGTTTATTGAGATGATGTATTGCTACCTAACCAATCGTAGACAATGTGTGAAGTTGAATGATGAGTATTCTGGTTTTTCAGGTGACAAGGGGTGTTCCCCAGGGTTCCTTCTTAGGACCATTACTTTTTTGTATCTATACGTTCTTGCTACCGAAGTGTTTTAAATTTTCTGATGTTCACCAATACGCTGATGATACTCAAGTATACCTTAGTTTTCCTAGAGACCGCTTAGGCACAGCAGTAGCTAGTATTAACGAGGATCTGCTTACTCTGTCAGATTACGCAACAAAGCATTCATTAATTTTGAATCCCCAAAAAAGTGTGGTGTTGGTGTTTGGCAAAGATAGAGTAGTAGAATCTGTGAGTCGCAATGTTGATATTATACTTGGTGCATGAGTATCCCGATTGTGTCGCAGGCCAAAAAGTTGGGTTTAATTACACAGGCCGACAAATTTTTAAACCAGAGACCAGACTATACCTTCCAAATAATTTTCGATACCCTGAATCCGAATCTGACGTCAGAATTGCTTCATCACCTAAGATTTTCAAGATATCTTACCTAAAATATGCGAAAAACACGATTTTTTAGCACATTCAAGGCTGAATTTACATCAAAAGACAATTTTTCTCCACAGAAGGCATTATGCCATTTAAAACTATTTCTCTGCCCCCTTAAAATCTTATGTTATTCATTTAAATTTTTTTCTTGATATCTGAGAAATTGTCTCCTAAAACTAAGAAATTCATCATATTTGAAATAGCATCTGTTTATTTTCCAGTTTTATTTACATGTTTTAAAATGTTTTATTAACACTTCAAAGCAATACAAAATATTAATAAATAACAAATAACAACAAACGTATGGTCTAAAACGAAATTAATGATAAAGAACCTGAAGTGGCCTGCTCTTACCCTATCAATGTCGTTTACAGCGACAAGCGATTTCGCTGAAATTCAATATATCGTAATTTTTTGTCATTTATTAGATGTATACGAAAGTATATGTTAGGCTATACATATCAAAAATGTAAGTTTATATGAAACGTTTGAAAATGTCTTCAGGTAAAGTGCCATTTCCAGTTGATGGATTTGGTCTAAAAGTTGTTTACGAGCTTTAGATTTTGGTTTAATAGTTATATACCAAATGTCATTACGGTAACTGATTGCGTTTTTAAGTTATCGTGTTTACACACATACATACATACGTACGTACATAAATACGCACAGACATTTTCTGGAAATAGTCAATATGGACTCAGGGGACCTCAAAACGTGTATATCCATCAAAATGTAGAGGTCGAATTTCAATACTTTGTCTCATATATACCTATACATATTTCGTATATGTATATTATAAAATGTTATTTTTATCTGTAGGTAGGAATCAAAAACAAAATAAAAACATCAAGAAGTATAAAATTAACAAGTTTTATTGGATTCTATTATACAGTCCGTCCGTAAAGTAACGGATATAGGCGATAAAATCATTATAAACGGTTTATGGAAAAATCCATGAAACAGGTCTAAAGATTTAAATTTTTTGCAATTTTTTGGTGTAGATTTTAAATTTTTTCTGCCATTTTTAAACGAGTTATGACGTCATCGATATTTTTTTGCAAATGGCATTCCTCCATTTTTATAATGGAATATAAAAGAGAATGTTTTTCTGAATCTAGTACAGTCAATATTAATATTGGTTACATAAGAAAATTTTCGAAAAAAATTACTTTAAAGATTAACTACGTCAAGTTTGTTGTAATGATAAAAATAGCAATAGCCAAGAGTAACTATGGTAACCAATTATTTTAAATAATTTTCTAAGTATCTAAAAATGATTTAGTAAGTAGTTGACCTCCTTAATGCAACATTTCTTGATCGAAAACTGCTTAGCTCATTAGTATGGTAAGCCTAGCTGTGACTAAATTTAAAAAGCATGGACATCTTCAAGATTTCTCGAAGTCTGCTCGACCAAATGTTTCAGGGGAGGTTCAACAAAGGTGGTTTTGGCTGGGCAAGAAAACCCGTATGTTACTGTCAGGGGTATTGGGTCGTATTTAGACATTAGTAAATCAACGGTTCATAAAATTTTAAAAACCTCAACATTTTATTCCTATTAAGTAAACTTCTGTCACGAGCAATGAGTCGTAGTTTTTCCAACAACAATTTTGTTACGATGACGAAGAGTTTGTCAAAAACATATTTTTTCCGACGATGGAACATTCACATTGAGTAGAAAAGTAAATAGACAAAATTGTTGGTATTGGGCTACCCAAAATCCGCATTGGGCAAAAAAGTCGCACAAGATCAAGGTGTGGAGCGAAATCGCACGGGATACTGTCCTGAGTTCTTACTTTTTGAGGAAACCTTAACTGGAGAGAGATGTTTAGATTTTTTCAAAACGATATCATAATATTGTCCCACCTAAATTTCAATAGTAGTTATTCCAAGAAGATGGGGCACTTCAACAAGCTTTACTAAATCAGTTTTTGACACTTAGGACATTGTTTAAAATAATTGGTTACTATAGTTACCTATGGCTACTGCTATTTTTATAATGTCAAGCAAATTTGAAGAAGTTAATTTTTAAAGTAATTTTTCTCGAAAATTTTCTTATGTAACCAATATCAATATTAACTGTATTAGATTCAGAAAAACATCCTCTTTAATATTCCGTAATAAAAATGGGGGATTGTCATTTGAAAAAACTATCGATGACGTCATAACTCGTTTAAAAATGGCGAAAAAAATTTAAAATCTACACCAAAAAATTGGAAAAAATTTAAATCTTTAGATCCGTTTTAGGGATTTTTCCATAAACTCTTTATAATGATTTTATCGCCTATATCCGTTACTTTACGGACATACTGTATAATCTTGATGAATAATGGAAAATTTACAACACATATTTCTGTTAGTAAGTGCGATTCTAAGATAAAGTAGAATCATCTTTATTATCGAAAATGTAATTCATCTTATTCCGATTCCCCCAAACCTAATATTGGGTATCCATTCACATTTTGAAGATTTTCCTGAAAATGATAATAGTTAAACTAAAAATTTACTACGGATTATACTTTTTTTGGTTCATTATAAACAATTCTCGTACACAAATTTTTCTATATTGGTTATAATTTACGAGTAGTGATAGATTTTTTTAATGAAAGCCATTCTTTTTGACAGTTTTGTGATTTTCGCGTTATTCCAACAATCATGATAGATAGCTAAATTGGAACTTTGTGATAGATTATGGTTTGTTCATACATTATAAAAAAATTTTCTCTATCGGTTTTAACAAAATATTTTTAATGCTATAACTATTATATTTATTATTAAATTCTAAAAAAATTCTATTTTATTTACAGGATCAACAGTTTACGGAGAAAACCTAACTTGTTATCAATGTACAAAAAATGAAGATGAAAAATGCGAGTTAGAATTCTTATTACCATGTCCGGCCAAATTCGATAGATGTGCTATGCATATCACAAAATATGGTAAGCAAAACTTTACTCAATTTATTTACTTCTCACAATTTTGATTTATTTCTAGCTAGTACAGGATTCCAAATAAAACGTGAGTGTGGATTAGGACCGTGCGATTTTAACGATTTATTAATGAATAACAATCTCGGAATGAAATGCGACCGATCGAAACAAGAATATTCATGTCTTTCTTGCTGTAAAGGAAACGGTTGTAACAACAATTCGGATAAGCGTTCGAAAATTTCCTGGACATTATTTATGATGGTTGTATTGATGATTTCTCTCCAAATTGTAAAGAATTATCAACCTCCGTATGTCTTCAACTATGATTTAACTTAACTTTAGTTAAATGACTATAAACGATTAAAAAATTAAATTTGATTTAAAGATATATATTATTTCGTTTTGAATTGAATAACTTAAGAGATTTTATTTTTCCTTAATAAGAATAAAATTAATAGTAATAAATCTTTTAAAGTAACTAATTAATATCATTATAAACGTATATATTAGAAGAAATACATGTGTCAAAATAAATCTATGAAAAAAAAGGTGAAAATTACTTTTGATTATAAAAATATCCTCTTATATATTTTAAATTATTTGTGTGTGTAAACAACAAATTCTCACCAACCTGATTTTTAAAATAAATATTTCATAAATTAAAGCGATAAGGAAAATATCTTTCAATAATAATAATAAGTAAGAGGAATTGCCATTTAACATCAAGTCGATGAAAATTAATTTATCATCTCGTGTTAGCAGTGTTAAACGGTCATTTGGTCATATTACTGTATCTGTTGGCGATGACAATGTTTATTGACATTTATAAATGTTCAAAGAATTATAGGATTATTTAGCAGTTAGAAATAAAGAAATCGATTACATATACATTTTTTTTGTCATGCAGTTAGTACTGTTAGACGAGGTGGGTACTGTGCCTCTCACTACTTTCTGCTAAAGGTCAAATTCATACACAGGATCTCTATCACAAATAAAACAAATTTAGAAAACAGTAAAAATGCAATGTAAGAACATTGAGAGATGATGACAAAAAGAAAGAATTTAGACAAACAGTTTTTATCATAGAAAGAACGAGAAAATGGAATAGAAGAAGAATGAAAGACACTAAGCGACAACATGAATTCAGCTACTCAAGACATTGAGGTCATCACAAAACGAATAGTATGATGTGGATTGTAGAAATAATCAAAAGGACGAATGCTTCAAGAAAAAATGCCTACAACAAAACAAAAGATGGAATACAGTTTAGTTCATACAGAACTAAACTGAAGAATACTGACGAAAGAGCAACAAAATTTGCCGTAGAAAGAAACGAGAATGCACATAATAATAATAATAATAGTTTATTTCTCAAATATACAAAACATGGTACATTCAATTCGTCAATAAAAGAAATACATGAAATTGACTTCAAGTTCCTCTTCCTCTGCTAGGTAGTACCCGGCATCTTACTTTCATAGTATTCTTGAATTGAATAAATTTCACTTTCTATTAGGTGTTTCTTCACTTCCGCTTTAAATTTCTTCTCGTCTAATTGTTTTGTTCTTGATGGTAGAGCATTATATAATTTTATTGAAATATATTTGACAGTATTTTGTGACTTCTGTACTCTGTATAAGGGTACCAGTAAATTGTTTCCATATCATGTACTGTAGTTGTGAGAGTCTATATTTCTTTCCAATGTCTCTCTTTGCGCATGAACATATTGTAGACAAGAGAAAATAATACAGGATGGTATTGCAATTTTTTAAGTATTCTAATTGCTTTGTTTTGTAATTTAAAAATCTCACCCGCTTTACTTGATGCGCCCCAGGTAAGTATGCCATATATCGCCATACTATGAAAGTACGCAAAATATACATTCCTTATTTCTTCCTCCGGTAAACTTTTAGCTAACATTCTTAAACAATACAGTGCCGTTGCCAATTTTCCTTTCAAGTTTTTTATGTGATCCCTCCATAGACTCCTAGAAACATTGTAGTATTATCTCTGACCTCCTGGTTTTGTTTTGTGAAGAAGGTAAGTGTATGTGTTTTTTCTCTGTTCAGTTGTAGATTATTTACTTTGAACAAATTTTTTGCTTCATTTAATGTTATATTTGTTTTTTCTTTTAGGTCTTCTAAGTCTTTAGAACTATTTATGAATGAGGTGTCATCAGCATACAAACACATTGAGTCTGCCTTTATATTTTTTGGTAAATCGTTTAAATATAACAGGAATAAAACTGGTCCGAGCACGGAGCCCTGTGGTACTCCAGTTATGAAGATATGAAGCAATAAGTTTATTTCCATTTTCGTTTATGCCGTATTTTTCCATTTTTTTCAGAAGAATTTGGTGATTCACTGACTCAAAAGCTTTACTCAGGTCACAGAAAACTACTTGTGTATAATTTTGCGTATCAAAACCAGTTATTATACTTTGGATTACTCTAAGCAGTGCTGATGTTGTTGATTTTTCTTTTTGATATGCATGTTGATATTGTGTTATTAGATTATTGTCTTTTATGTGGTCCATGATCCTGTTTTTTATTGCAGTTTCAAAAACTTTGGATATTACGGGTATTATTGATATCGGTCTGTAATTACTTTTATTATTCGCGTCCCCTTGTTTATGAATAGGAGTTACTCTTATATATTTCAGTTCATTTGGAAAAAACACCGTCTCTTAAGCATTTATTTAATAGGTTACACAACATTACCCTTATTATAGGTTCTATATTCTGGAGTACTTTTGTTGTCATTCCATACACATCATTAGTGTTTGTTTTATTCAAGTTCTTTATTATCGCTTCAATCTCTTCCTCTTCAATTTGTTTTAGTTGTATAGCTTCAACTTGTTCTATTTGTTTGAACTCTATTAGATCTTTTTTTATCATGCTACCTTTCGTTTGTGCTATTTATACATAGTAATCGTTTAGTAATCGTTTATCTGTTTATGAAGATGTTATCTACACAGTGTAAGTCCATATTCTAGCAAAATAGCTAACAACTCCTCATTAATTAATGATTTTTCATTGATACATATATTGTAGTCCCCCATTATAAATATATTTTTTTAATTTTGTTTTCCTATTACGAAATGTAAAATTTCTTCCATTTTTCCCAAAAATTCTCTATAGTCTCCATCTGGTCAGTGATTCACTACTAAAAAAAATGGAATTCAGTACTGGGATTTTAACTGCTCAAAGTTCAATGTCTTTTTCTTTAATATATTGGTCTAAATCAATTGACTCAGACAAATATTCTTCATCTATCAGTAGTAAGAAAATCTCCTCTTGAAAAAAGTTTCCTGCAGTTACAAGATCCAACATAATAACCTGGAAAACTTAAAATTTTTATCTCTTCTTTCGTCATCCAGTGCTCAGTGATCGCTATTATATTTATTCCTGTTTTTGTGGTAAGTATGTATTGTAGTTGGTTTATTTTATTTTTTAAGCTTGTATATTAAGTTTACTATCTGTATTTGTTTTTTAATTCACCCACTAGCAAAGCATTACTAAACTCATTATTTTCAAACCTTTGCTTTAATAATGAATTATCAAAGATGTGCTGATCATGGGCCGATCCTGGTCAACGAGCAACAATATCCAAAATTTTTAAATCCACCGAGGAGACAGTTTGAACATTCAATGAAAAAAAGCCCTTTCGATTCCGGAATGTCTCTGCACGTAGTCCACCTATAATTATTATCCACTCATTAATATTAATTCATATGTTTCGATTAAAAGAGATTGCTTACCTGGCGAAATAATGCTAATATGAGTACAGTCGATACTGCCTATCACCCGTGGAAATCTAGCTTTTCCATAAAATTGTTCTTGTGATTTCTCTACTTGGTCACCAGTAGGCATACGTATATATTCTGGTGCCAATTCCGCAAGCGCAGTGATACTCTTTTTACAATATTACTGCTCTTACTAACATTAAAATAATCGCCACATGAAATCAAGAACTTTCCTGTAGCATAGAATCTCAGTGCAAGGAGCAATTGGTCGATAGGAGAGATGATGTGATTCCTAAAAATTCGATTATTTATAAATTATAAATTAGTTATTTATTATTATTATGAAATACAAACCTGTCAGTTTGGAATTCTAATCTCGTCTCAATTTTAACCAAGATTGACAAAACTGTACTCTTTTTTAACCGAAATCTAACAAAAAAATCTTGGTCGTCTAAATCCTCAAAGTGGTTTTGACTTTTGTCTTTCTTTTATAATATATGGTCGACGTTTATAATGTAAAAGTTGGACAATATCCTCATCTTCATCGCTTTCTAATAAATACTCATGCAAGAACTCACAAATCAACTTCACAAACTAAAGTCAATTATACAAATTTGACCAATCATGTTTTATTTCCGTTTCTAATGTTAACACTCAGGGGTACCATCTGTTTTCTATCTTGTGGTTTGCTGCCTGTCGGGTAGAAAGTTGCTTAATAAACGCGTAACTGAGGTTATCTGTTAGACAAGTTTATCCATGAGTTACGTATCTGTCAGATATAGATTATGCGAGATAGAACATAGATGGTAGCCCTGAATGTTAACATTAGAAACGGAAATGAAACGTAATTGGTGAAATACTTCCATATTTTGCAATTTCTTGTGCAGCTTTGTATGCTTCGTTTGTTCGACCAGTAATGCACGAAAAATTACGAAATTAAAATACCCCACAAGAATGAGAAATCTACTCTAATAAATTCAAATCGCAAATCTGTTTTATCTGATTTATCAATTAGACGTAATAATTATTGTATGAATAACGCGTAATGCTGATTTTCAACTTAAAATTCGTGAGACTAAGGGTCCAAAAATCCAAAAATCAATGAAGATCGCCTTTCAGTTTCAAAAAAGGTTTTTGATCGCAGGCCTGAGTAATTAAAATTAAAACTAACACAACACTTAGAATCATAAAATTATCGAAAAATTAATTTTTGCATACATATTTTTTTATATGAAATCAGGAAATTATTTGCTTAAACAGTTGTAGGTCGGACAGGAAATACCCAGGTTTACAGAGGAAGGGATAACTATATCTATGATGACCACTGACATTTATATTTAAATATACTGATGTAGTAAATAGATAGTATTAATACCACAACTTAAAAATATTTTGTTCTAAGTAGATCCGTTATATCGAAGAAAGACATCTACGTTCACATTCATATTTGTAAGGACGTAATGAAAATAAAAACAGAATAATGGTAAACACAGTTTGACAGCACATTTGACAGTCGCTAAACGTAAACAAACCACATGCGTGCTGCGCGTTATACCCAAAGTATTACCAACCATTGGAATAACTATTCTGGCATAAGAAACTATTCCACTGATTATACCAACACTTGTAAGATCGGCCCTTAGTTCCATAAATATACAACAATCTAGCGCTGAATAACTATAAAACTAGAACTAACACTAGACCTAGAACTAGAAATATTCGTGCGTCTGAAGACGCACGGCTAAACCCGAAACTTTCTAGTTCTAGGTCTAGTGTTAATTCTAGTTTACATTTCCATCGGGTTTAGCCATCTTTAAAGACGTGCGGCTAAACCCAAATGATTCTAGTTCTAGGTATAGTGTTAGTTCTACATGGTAACAGTGCTAGGGTAAAACTAGAACTAACACTAGACGTAGAACTAGAAACATTCGGGTTTACCCGTCTTAAGAGACGTACAGGGTGGGCAAATTTGGATGTTATTATAGGCTATCTCAGAAACTATAAGAGATACGAAAAAAGTAGGTGCCATGTCCCGGTCTCTTTTTTCGAGACTAATCCAATCCCGGAAACACCTAACCTCTATCGTCTTTTGTTTTTAAATTATGGCCAAAAAGTCAAATTTTAGTGATTTCAAAAAATGCCCATATCTCGTTTATTTTTGAAATTATAGAAATGGGGTTGATACGTTCTTAAGACACTTTTTTAAGTAGAATATACTGCCGTTGAAAAATTGTAAAAATATTTGATGATTTTTGAGATACAACACAAAGTTGTATTTTTTTAAATACAAACTATACTTGATTATGATGTTAATGAAAAGATCATATTTTTAGCTTTCCAATTATGTATCGCATGTATGGTGTATTTGCGGAAAATAAGCGTTAATTTTCAATTCCAAAATAGTAAGCTCTAAAGTTCAAAACTTTGATTATAGTAGGTAGGTTCGGACAGTAAATACTACCTAATTGCTATATGGTTTTGCACGAATATGACACAAAGTTGGTCTTGTACCATTATGCAGGATAAAGTTGGTTTTGTACCAATGAATATAAACTTTAAATAGTTGATTTAAATTTCTCAGTGTCTTATCTCTGACTTTGTTCACCAATAAAAAATGATTTGTAGATTAAGTTTGTTTATTATATAAAATACAAAAAACGTATTAATTAATGAATAATTAAACATGAACAACAACTTCAGGAACTAAACAGTAACAGACTGTCATCTTCTTCTACTAAACTTACTGGTTGTAAGGTTAGAACAGTTGGGTATCAATGAATGAAATTTTCGGTAGTATTTTCCCAGTTTTCTCCAAACATGAGATTTAGAAGTTTTTTCATATTAGCAACTTTTTCTTTTGAAATTGGGTGAGATAGAGGAAGATTAGGGATCATAAACTGGGCAGCGGACTTTCCATTGAAACGATGTTTATATGGGATATGTAGCCTTATCTAACATTTTCAAAGAATCATTTTTTAATTTTTCGTTTTATGTATTTAAAGATAATGAGGAATTTTTAAACGGGAAACTCATTTCGAAAAATTCATGAATGAAATGATCAGTAAACTCACGTTACTATAGTAACTAAGTGGCATTTAAGGTTTTCCTCGCCTACTATAATTAAAATTTTGGATATTAATCTTTAAATATTTTAAAATTAAAAAATAACGCTTATTTTCCCCAAATACACCACGCGTGCTATACATCATTGGAAAGCTAAAAATATGCTCTTTTCAGTAACACCATAATCTACTATTTAAAAAAATACAACTTTGTGTTGTATCTCAAAAATCATCAAATATTTTTAAAATTTTTCAACGGTAGTATATTCTACTTAAAAAAGTGTCTTAAGAACGTGTCAACCCCATTTCTCTAATTTCAAAAATAAACGAAATATGAGCATTTTTTGAAATCACAAAAATTTGACTTTTTGGCTATAACTTAAAAACAAAAGAAGATAGAGGTTTCGTGTTTGCGGGATTGGGTTAGTCTCGAAAAGAGACCGAGACATGGCACCTACTTTTTTCGTATCTTTTATAGTTTCTGAGATAGCCTATAATAACACCCAAATTTGCCCACCCTGTACAGTTAACCCAAATGTTTCTAGTTCTAGATCTAGTGTTAGTTCTAGTTTTACACTAGCACTGTTACTATGTAGAACTATTAATACCACAACTTAAAAATATTTTGTTCACATTCATAAGAACGTAAAATAAAAATAAAAACAGAATAATGGCTGATCAATTTGACAGTTGCTAAACGTAAACAAACCACATGCGCGCTGCGCGTTATACCCACAGCTACCCACAGTATTACCAACCATTAGAATAATTATTCTGGCATAAGAAAGGTTTTATAAGACGCATTCGTTAAATTAATGCAGAGAATAAATTATTCTGGGAATAACTATTCCACTGATTATACCAACACTTGTAAGATCTGCCCTTAGTATAGTTAGGTTACAAATCTTAAACAGCCAATAAAAATCAAAAGAATTTTATTCATAAAGAGCTTTAAATTTAATCAGTACAAAAGAAAACGAAATGTTTATAATTTAGAACAATTTTCAGGTTCAATCAGCAAATGCGATGTACAATTTCAAGCATTACACTAAAAACTCATTCTCAAGTCAAAGCAAAAAACATCTTATCTCATTATAATTAAAATACATTCGCTTTGTATCTCATTCCTACTCTCATTTTCATTTTAGATCTAACAATGAACAGACATACACACAACTTTTTTGAATCACTCTTCAACAAGAACATTATTACTATTAATAAGTTTAGTACACTTTATTACTGGGTTTAAATAAATTCGTTAACAAAAAAAAAAGTTAGAGACGCTATTAACAATATTTGAGTCTCCTGTCGGTTTCATTTTCCTTTTTTTGATAATTTACAATTGTTAAAAAAAATAGTAATGGATTAAATGCAACAAATCTTTTTTATAAATCTTCATCATCCTCGGGCAAAGCAGTTTCTTGAGCCTCTTTGAGATCCTTTTCGATCTGTTGTTGCCAATTTGGATCCATCGTAACTTCTGGTGGAACTAAAGCAGGCATGGCTACGAATTCCAGATTCGGATCACCAATCAGTTTACGTGCTAACCATAAAAATGGCTTTTCGAAATTATAATTTGACTTAGCAGAAATATCGTAATACTACAATTAAAAAGATTTTTAATTAATTAAAAATAAATTATTTAATTGTTTTTGATTTATTTACCTGTAAATTTTTCTTTCTGTGAAACACAATACTCTTTGCTTTAACTTTCCTATCCTTAATATCAACTTTATTTCCACATAAAACGATTGGAATATTCTCGCAAACTCTCACTAAATCTCTGTGCCAATTGGGAACGTTTTTGTAAGTTACTCTCGATGTTACATCAAACATAATAACAGCACATTGACCTTGGATGTAATAACCATCTCGGAGGCCACCGAATTTCTCTTGTCCGGCTGTATCCCAAACGTTGAAGCGAATCGGACCCCGATTAGTGTGGAAAACTAAGGGATGGACTTCTACTCCCAATGTTGCGACGTATTTTTTTTCAAATTCGCCCGTTAAGTGTCTTTTAACAAAGGTTGTTTTACCGGTACCACCATCTCCAACCAAAACGCATTTAAACGTTGGCATATCTTGTTCAGCAGCCATGATTTGATTTTTCTTATTAAAACACCTAACGAATAAAATAAATAAATTATTAGACTATAAGCGGGAAAAATTCAAGAATCATCATGTGGCTTAAAAATCAACGACCCAAAAAACACGTCAAAAATAAAAAGATAGTGCGGAAAAGTGTAATATACCGAAAAATCACATTAAAGTGTCGATGTGACGTCACGTTTTGTGACGCATGGCTAAACCAGAATGTTTCTAGTTCTAGTTTTACACTATCACTAGATCTAACACAATACCTAGACTAGATTCGGGTCTAAAGACGCACGGAAAAACCCGAATGTTCCTAGTTCTAGTGTTCGTTCTAGTTTTAGTGCAATAAAAATATACAACATAGTGTGATATCTTATGCTAACTAGCGCTACCTACCACGGTCACTAGAACTAACATTAGACCTAAAGCTAGAAACATTCAGGTTTAGTCGTCTTAAGGGGGTATGCCACCTTTGAAATGAAAAAAAAATCATTTTTTTTTGCTTAAAAGTGTTCTTTATACTGTCTAGAATGAGAATCCAATGACAGAATACATTTGCGGAATGTTGATTAAAAAATTGATTTTTGTAACACACCTCACCGGAAATACTAAGATTTCTGTATCCACTTTTTGTTTCATTTTTTATCCATTGTATATGCAGGTATTTTGACAAAAAAGTAAAAAAAAAATATAAAATATCATTTTTCAAAAACGCTATTTAAGTAGGCTTTCGGGTACCTGAATAAACAATAGCATCACAAAAACTCATTTTCGTAGAAAACTTTACCCGACTTCTATCGAACAAAGGAGTAATTCCAAATATAAAGTCAAAAATTTGTAAAAAGTGTAGTTACTGGAAAGGTAAAGAAGATACTGAGGAATTTCAAGATTGGGTCGAAGATCATAAAGAAATATGTGATATAAACCATGTCGGATCTTCAGGAAAAATGGAAGTGGACTCCGTCGTAGAGATGTTTCAACGATCCGAAGAAAAACATAATTTGAAGTACTGTTTTTACGTAGGAGACAGAGACAGCAAAACCTTCAAAGGTATTATGGGCGCTCAGCCCTATGACAGTGTAATAGTAACCAAAAAAAAATGCGTCGATCACGTTCAGAAAAAGATTAGGAGGCAAAGGAAAATTAACAGGAAAATTAATTGATGAACTTTCCTTATATTATGGATTGGCTATTCGCAGAAATTGCGATTCAGTGAAGGACATGAAAAAAGAGATCTGGGCTACTTTGTATAATAAAATTTCAACAGATGAAACTCCAAAGCATGACAGTTCCTGGCAAAAAGCGTACGCCGCTTTGTCAGAAATCGATGAGTACACTCACAAGCCAGCAATCGGCAATGATGTTTTCAACGCAGTGAAACCTGTGTACGAAGAACTATCAAGGGAAGATCTTTTGACAAGTTGCTTACAACGCCGCGTTATGGTCTATCGCACCAAAAACTATTCATAGTGACAAGAAAGTGGTTGATATTGCGTCTAATATAGCTGCTTGTAATATTAATGACGGTCTTACAAGCATTATGGAAATAATGCAAGCACTGAAATTAACAATTGGAAGATCGTTCTTCGAGTTTTGTCATGAAACGGATTTAAATCGCATTGCTCGCGCTGAGCGCTCCATGACTGCTGAGGCTAAAGAAACTCGTAGAAGCCTACTGTCAGAAAGAAAAGCTGCAGAAGATGAAAATAAGCTTCAGGAAGGACAGCTGTATGCTGCAGGAATCGCTGATTAGATGTATCTAGGAAAAATATACAATTTTTTACATTCGAAAACTTTAAACGCGTTTTCTGGAAACTACATTTTTCAAATCTGTGCACACAATAACTTCCACATTTTTAACGTATTTTCAAGATTTTTTTTTCAAAAGTTTGTATTCTCTTATTCTAGGTAAGTACGTAGCCGTTTTTCGATATGTCTCAGATTATGATAATTAGCGCTACCTACCACTATCACTAGAACTAACATTAGACCTAAAACTAGAAACATTCAGGTTTAGCTGTCTTAAGAGACACATGGCTAAGCCTGAATGGTTCTAGTTCTAGTGTTGGTTCTAGTTCTAGGTCTAGTGTTGGTTCTAGTTTTAGTGCAATAAAAATATGCAACATAGTGATATCTTATGCTAAGTGACAAATAAAGACTCCTTGAGAACGATGAAAAATTTATTTTTATTACAAGATCGGTGCAACATGATTCGAGATTTAAAATCTCTTCATCAGGCACGACTAGAAACACAAAATTAGAGCAAGAAATTGTTATACATAAATTTAATTTTGTTTAATTACCGTCAATTCCTTACGGAGCATAAAATTGACCATCTGACAAACAAGGTGAAATTTGGAGGCGATTGGAAGAAACAATAGGCATTACTAAAATTTAAGGCCTTAAGGGCAAGTTAGTTTAGTTAAAAATATTCGGAAATCGAGAAAAATGGCCACTTACTTTTCATCGTTAAAAAACTGGTTTTAATAAAATTGAAATTAATTGAACTGTTTAAATCTGAAAGGGGAAAAATTATTTAGTATAGTTAAATTAAACAAAATTAAATTTATGTATAACAATTTCTTGCTCTAATTTTGTGTTTCTAGTCGTGCCTGATGAAGAGATTTTAAATCTCGAAACATGTTGAACTGATCTTGTAATAAAAATAAATTTTTCATCGTTCCCAAGGAGTCTTTATTTGTCACTTACAACCCACGATGAACATTGAATCAATTATCGCCATATCTTATGCTAACTAGCGCTATTTACCACTGTAACTAAAACTAACATTAGACCTAAAACTAGAAACATTCAGGTTTAGACGTCTTAAGACACACATATAAATCTGAATGTTTTTGGTTCTAGGTGTAGTGTTAGTTCTACTTTTTTTTCAATAAAAATATTCTACATTCAACACGAAATACATTTAAAACTAGAATTAATACTAGACCTAGAACTAGAAACATTCGGATTTAGCCCCAAGTCTCTCAAGACGGCTAAACCCAAATGATTCTAGTTCTAGGTCTTGTGTTAGTTCTAGTGGTAGTGTAAAACTACACCTACAACTAGAAAGTATCGGGTGTAGCTGTGCGTCTGAAGTGTTAGAACTAGTTTTAGTGCAATAAAAATATACACCATAGTGATATCTTATGCTAACTAGCGCTACCTACCACTGTTACTAGAACTAACATTAAACCTAAAACTAGAAACATTCAGGTTTAGCTGTCTTAAGAGACACACGGCTAAACCTGAATGTTTCTAGTTCTAGGTCTAGTGTTAGTTCTAGTTTTAGTGTAATAAAAATATACAATATAGTGATATCTTATGCTAACTAGCGCTACCTACCACTGTTACTTGAACTAACATTAAACCTAAAACTAGAAACATTCAGGTTTAGTTGTCTTAAGAGACACATGGCTAAATCTGAATGTTCCTAGTTCTAGGTCTAGTGTTGGTTCTAGTTTTAGTACAATAAAAATATGCAACATAATGATATTTTATGCTAATTAGTTCTAGGTGTAGTGGTAGTTGTACTTTTTTTTCAATAAAAATATACCACAATCAACTAACGTTAAATACATTTAAAACTAGAACTAACACTAGACCTAGAACTAGAAACANATCGTGCTTCGAGTTTTGTCATGAAACGGATTTAAATCGCATTGCTCGCGCTGAGCGCTCCATGACTGCTGAGGCTAAAGAAACTCGTAGAAGCCTACTGTCAGGAAGGACAGCTGTATGCTGCAGGAATCGCTGATTAGATGTATCTAGAAAAAATATACAATTTTTTACATTCGAAAACTTTAAATACATTTTTCAAATCTGTGCACACGATAACTTCCACATTTTTCAACGGATTTTCAAGATTTTTTTTTAAAGTTTGTATCCTCTTATTCTAGGTAAGTACGTAGCCGTTTTTCGATATGATTATATATAAAAATTATGTACGTTTTTTTATCGATAAATACGACATTTCTTGTAAAATCGTCACCATTTCGTCAAAAATGAATATTTTTTAAAAATTCTACGTAGTTCCCTAGTTTTTGAGTTTACTAAAGTAATCGTATTCAAGTTTTAATTATTCGACTTACGCGTTAGGAGAAATCCTGCGCACAGTTTGACCCTGCACGATTTGCAAGCCTAACATTGGGTCGCAATGGGTACAATTTATTTATTAATAAAAATATCTATGTCAAGTGGTATATCATGAGAATCGTTGAGAAAAGGCCTTTTTTTAATAAAGTCATGGCTAACTATGGTTTCCATTAGAAAAATTACAAGTTTGTGTCATAACTTAAAAATTATTGGCCAATAAATATTGACAAACTGTAATTGCCTCAGACTATCAATATTTATTGACGATCCACTTTAGTTTTGTGCTGGCAGGATATCATACCGTCAAAAAGCTTGTGTAGCTAGTATTTTAGCTTAACAATAAAACGCCGGAAGAAAAAGAGAATATAGGCTAGGGAATGGCTTCTAAAGAGAGATACGTTTTCTCACATGAATTTGTTGAATGAGGTTCGCGTATCTACTCCAAAAGATTGAGGATTGTCAATCTTTCCCTCAGACTGTCAATATTTATTGTCAATATATCAAATATTTCGATTGTCGTCAAACCATCTCATTAATATTTTCAATATTGGCAATCTGTCAATCTTTCTACTCACACGTTCAATAATATTGTCAATACTCAGATATTGACAATATATATTGATCGTGTGAAGACCGCTTAAACCTGAATGGTTCTAATTCTTCTATTAGTTCTAGTGATAGTGTAAAGCTAGAACACTAGACCAAAATCTAGAAATATTCGGATTTAGTCCCACGTCTCTCAAGACGGCTAAACCCGAATATTTCTAGTTCTAGGACTAGTGTTAGTTCTAGTTTTAGTGCAATAAAAATATGGAACATAGTGATATCTTATGCTAACTAGCGCTACTTACCACTGTCACTAGAACTAACATTAGACCTAAAACTAGAAACATTCAATTTTAGCCGTCTTAAGAGACACATGGCTAAATCCGAACGTTTCTAGTTCTAATGTTAGTTCTAGTTTTAGTACAATAAAAATACACAACATAGTGATATTTTATGCTAACTAGCGCTACTTACCACTATCACTAGAACTAACATTAGACCTAAAACTAGAAAAGTTAAGAGATAAGTAATACAAAATAGACCTCTTGACCTCTAAATTTTTTTTAATGATCAACTTTATTTACTTGGATCTATTTAGTTTCGACATACTAAGCCACATATTTTCACTCTCCTACCTCTAAAATTACTGATTTTATGTATGGTATTTTTAAACAAATTGATTATAAACCAATACACTCCCTGAAAAACTTATTACAACTCATCGAAAAGTTAAAACATACTACACCTAATAACAATACACTGTTATCCTTTGATGTGATCAATTTATACACAAATGTTGATACCACTTACACTTTAAAAGCGATTGAAGACATATTCTTTCAACATTTTAAAGACAAAATCATCACTGCTGCATTTACATCCAGACTAATTAGCAACAGAAAATGGTTATCCAAGTTGAACCAGCGATAAATTACAATATAAAAACCTTATAAAATAAGTCCTTTATACTCTAAAATTAAAAATGACTTTGACAATTATAAGACAATAACATAAACAAAATATATTGCAAATTAAAACCATATTACAATCCTATGGTGTGTTTGTCATTGAAAACTATTATACTGTGATACTTTTATTCCATTTTAGTAACCCGTTTCGACATTAAATTTTGTTCAAAGTTGATTTTTACAGTCGTATTTAGAATTCAATTGTGTGCGGTAATCTGTCTCCTGATTTAAAATAGTTGTATTTGTATTTCTTTTTGAAAAATGTCTTATAGTATGGACGTCTTATAGACTTAGAATTTTGTTTGTTCAGTGTAATTTTTTGACTATATGACTAAGTTAAGATATTCATGCAGTTTTATTGTTTTAAGATCAATACAATTATTATATTGTTTTGTAGATTTGGCTGATGATTACATCTTAGTGTGTCGAAACTAGTTCCAAGTAAATAAACTTGATTATTAAAAAAAAATTAGAGAACAAGAGATCTATTTTGTATTACTTATCTCCTAACTTTAATTATACCTCTAATATTATGGATCTTTTAAAAAATAAAACTAGAAACATTCAGGTTTAGGCATCTTAAGAGACACACAGCTAAATCCGAAGTTTTCTGGTTCTAGGTATAGTGTTAGTTCTACTTTTCTTTCAATAAAAATTTACCACAATCAGCTAACGCTAAATACATTTCAAACCAGAACTAACACTAGACCGAAAAACCCGTCTAAACCCGAATAATTCTAGTTCTAGGTTTTGTGTTAGTTCTAGTGCTAGTGTGAAACTAGAACTAACACTAGACCTACAACTGAAAAGTATCGCGTTTAGCCGTGCGTCTGAAGTGTTAGTTCTAGTTTTAATGCAATAAAAATATACAAAATAGTGATATCTTATGCTAATTAGCGCTACCTACCACTATCACTAGAACTAACATGAGACCTAAAACTAGAACCATTCAGGTTTAGCTGTCTTAAGAGACACATGGCTAAACCTGAACGGTTCTAGTTCTAGATCTAGTGTTGGTTCTAGTTTTAGTGCAATAAGAGTATGCAACATAGTGATATCTTATGCTAATTAGCGCTACCTACCACTGTTACTAGAACTAACATGAGACCTAAAACTAGAAACATTCAGATTTAGCTGTGGTAAGAGACACATGGCTAAACTTGAATGGTTCTAGTTCTAGGTCTACTGTTGGTTCTAATTTTAGTGCAATAAAAATATGCAACATAGTGATATTTTACGCTAACTAGCGCTACCTACCACTGTCACTAAAACTGACATGAGACCTAAAACTAAAAACATTCAAGTTTAGACGTCTTAAGACACACATATAAATCTAAATGTTTTTGGTTCTAGGTGTAGTGTTAGTTCTACTTTTTTTTCAATAAAAATATTCTACATTCAACACGAAATACATTTAAAACTAGAACTAACACTAGACCTGGAACTAGAAACATTCGGATTTAGCTTCAAGTCTCTCAAGACGGCTAAACCCAAATGATTCTAGTTCTAGGCCTTGTGTTAGTTGTAGTGTTAGTGTAAAACTAGACCTACAACTAGAAAGTATCGGGTGTAGCAGTGCGTCTGAAGTGTTAGAACTAGTTTTAGTGCAATAAAAATATACAACATAGTGATATCTTATGCTAACTAGCGCTACCTTCCACTGTTACTAGAACTAACATTAGACCTAAAACTAGAAACATTCAGGTTTAGCTGTCTTAAGAGACACACCGCTAAACCTGAATGTTTCTAGTTCTAGGTCTAGTGTTAGTTCTAATTCAATAAAAATATACAACTTAGTGATATCTTATGCTAACTAGCGCTATTTACCACTGTCACTAAAACTAACATTAGACCTAAAACTAGAAACATTCAGGTTTAGTTGTCTTAAGAGACACATGGCTAAATCTGAATGTTCCTAGTTCTAGGTCTAGGGTTGGTTCTAGTTTTAGTGCAATAAAAATATGCAACATAATGATATTTTATGCTAATTAGTTCTAGGTGTAGTGGTAGTTGTACTTTTTTTTCAATAAAAATATACCACAATCAACTAACGTTAAATACATTTAAAACTAGAACTAACACTAGACCTAGAACTAGAAACATTTGGATTTACCCCACATCTCTCAAGATGGCTAAACATTCAGGTTTAGACGTCTTAAGACACACATAAACCTTAATGTTTTTGGTTCTAGGTGTAGTGTTAGTTCTACTTTTTTTTCAATAAAAATATTCTACATTCAACACGAAATACATTTAAAACTAGAACTAACACTAGACCTAGAACTAGAATCATTCGGGTTTAGCCATCTTGAGAGACTTGAGGCTAAATCCGAATGTTTCTAGTTCTAGGTCTTGTGTTAGTTCTAGTGATAGTGTAAAATTAAAACACTAGACCTAGAACTAGAAAGTATTGGGTTTACCACTCAAAAATATGTGTTTTAACCAAATGTGCTGTGAAAATATATGGTAATGACGTCACGTCGAAACTTTAAAGTGATTTTTCGGTAAATTTCACACTTTTCCGCACTTTTTTTATTTGTAACGGCTTACTTGAATGATTTCCCGTCGATTTTTAAGCGTCATGACGATTCTTGAATTATACCTAAAACGGCAAAGTACAGATTAGATTTTGAGGTTAGGGCGGGTTCCTAACCTAAAATAAACTATAACAAAGAAATCTTTTAATTCTTACCTTATTTTTTTTAACGAATTCAATAAAAACGATTAATAAATCTTAGAAATATAGTTACCTTCTTATATAAATACAAAAATTAACCTCTTCACCTGAACGTTATCGAAACCGCATGGAAAATTCCGTGATGAAAAAGCGAGAAATTCTGTCGATTGTCAAAGAGCGACAAGATTATCTGATTAATAAAACGAAAATGATCGTGAAATCAACACGTTAAACGTTTGAAAGTGTTTAAACACGTTGAGAATCGTTTTTAATTTAAATGGTGAATGGCGCCATCGCAACGTATCACAGGATTTTGATATCTAAATGCCGACTTTAAGAATATTTTTTGAGCGTTTTACAAGTGTTCGGATGAAAATACGCGAACTAATCGATCATAGACGAGTTAGAAAACTTACCTTTGCAATAAAATCGTTCGATAAACACGGATGGACTGGAAATACAACGATGACACTTACTAACCGCTAAAGTCGTTAGAGCTCACAATGGCGTCCCCTCGTGTCTGAACCAAATGATTCACCAACCAAAATCAAGTATTAAACTAAAGTGTTTTTAATATAACAACGATTTAAATTCGATAGTAAAAAATATTACAAAGCGATTTTGGTGGTTAGATTTTGAATTAAAACATAGAATTTTTGTAAAAAAATTAGTTTTTAATAAAATTGATCGTGACGTCACGGGTGATTTTGACGTCAGGTGCGCGTGCGCATTAAGGTGTCAGCAGTGCAGAATTGCCGAGTCCGGTTGTCCGCTATCGATTTTCAACGCGAGAGTCTAGTGTCGGTTCCTTACACACATTTAGTTTTAGTGCTCTGTCCTATATATGTGAAACGCGTTTAGAAATACAATTTTTTTTCTTGAATGGGATTTTTATATAAAAGCCCAGTTGTTCACGGTGTGTGACTGTAGCCGGTGTCAAGATGACCAAGGATAGATTGGCGGCACTTGTCGCTGTAAGTTTCTTTTTTTATTCAATAGCAAACCGATTAAAACCCAACGAAAAAAACCACAAAAAATCGCTTTATATCAAACATTTTTAAGTTATTTAACGCAAATTTCAAATTAAATCAAATTTATTATTATTTTTTTGTTTTAGAATAGTTTTGTTTAGGTCAAGTGTTGGAGAAAATAGGTTAGGTAGAAAGAAAATTAGTTTAAATGTCATTATTTTTGCCCCGCCCGCTATTTTTTTTGTTTTGTTTAATTTAATTGAATTGCGTATATTTTTCTTTAATAAAATTAACAACAACATAATTTTACACGAAAAACGCGATAACATTTATTTATTTATTTTATTTCTTTAATATTTATTTATCATTTTTGTTTTAATTGTTTTCGATATAATTGAAATTTAAATCATCCATTTTTAGTAATTATCCAATGAGAACGCGTTAAACAGATGTAACCATGGCAACAATTCTTTTAGTTAAGTTAATAGAAGTATTAAATAAAATCAAATAAACAAACTCTTTAGAACAAGAGGAACAAATTACTTAAGACGACTTATCAAAGCAAAAAAAAGTAAGTACTTGATTAAAGATGTGGTAATCCCAAAATATTTTTGGGTGTAAATGCAATCTATCCAATCTACAGGTGACTTACAACCGACTTCTCATCTCATTGTCAGAATGACCCACTTACCAAATGTTATTTACTACTTCTTCAGTGAAGTTGTGTCAATTCGGTAATGATTAGTAGAAACTTGTTAAGTTAATGGCACAGTTATTCAGTTAATTCCTTTTCTTTATCACCAGCTACACTTACAAGGGAAGTATCAGAACTGGCCCTCACTGATTTTGTTGAAATTTGGTACAGCGATAGTATGGCCAAAAATAAGGTTTACGTATTTTTTTATACGTGCTAATAAAGCCCCTGGGGCGAGTTATAAGGGTTGGAAATCGGGGCGAAATATATATATTCGCTTATAGGCTGAAAACGAAAATAGCTATCGAAATGTGGTAAATGTAAACTGATATTCATTTTCAAAGAGCTTTCCATTGATATATCACACATACAGGGTGTCTCAGTGAGACCGGTCATTAGACGTTTTTGGGGTTCTAGCCAAACAAAAAATTTGAGAATGCAGACTTAAGTATTATCAATTACGTTCTCTTCATCTAAAATATTTTCAGATTTCTAGCACTTCCGGTTATACCGGAAGTCGCCACCTACTCTATTTTTTTAAATGGAACACCCTGTATATTTTTACATATTTGGATTTGTCTGTTTTGAAGGTTTATAAATAACTTTACTTTTTGCAATTTGAACCAGCAATTCTCGAGTTATTCGAATTTTTCTAGAAAAATTTGCTCCAGCGGACATTTGTTCAAAAAATCATAGAACACTCAATTTTTGAGATATCAATTTAGGATTCAGAACATGCTTAAACAACATGATGGAGTATGTTTTGGTGCCGAGAACGGCTGTCTAGATCGTTTGGTCACTTTACTATGATACGTTAACTTTTCGAAATTTGGAAGCACCATAACTTCATTTTTTTAAATGGCACCCCCCATATTTTATTACTTAGTCGTCTTCGGCGTCTCATTTTACATCTTTTATATTCCATATGTCCTATGCCTAACATTAATAGTTTGAGAAATAATTAGGGTTTTTTGAAAAATGCTCACATATCATATGGATATTAACCTAGTGTGCCATGGAAAACAAATGTTTAATGACTTATTGATAAACGTCAAAGTCTAATTTAGGTTGTTTGATGCTTGTGAGTCTAAAACCAGTTAAAATGGATATTAATAACGTAAATAATGTTTATACAAATGAAGAAATCCATAATTTATTTTTTGTGCACGAAAAGTGCGACAAAGTTCTTAGTAGAACTTGCAGAATGTTTAATGAAAATTATCCACATTTATCTCCGATGACAAAAGGTAAATTTAGAAGAATAGAAGCAAATTTTTTGCATTTTGGACGAATTAATCACGTGTTAAACTGACCAAAAAATGTAGTAGATAATGCAACGGAAGAGGTGAATACCTTGGCTTATTTCGAGCCCAGTCCCAACACCTCAATTCGAGCTGCCAAAGAAGATCTGGGAATCATACTACGAACTTTGTCGCGCTTTTCATGCAAAAAAAATAAATTAAGAATTTCTTGATTTGTGTAAATATTACTTTCGTTATTGTTATCGATTTTAACTCGTTTCAGTACTAATATTAAGGGACATAACAGATAATTATTAGCTCACATGCATCAAGTGACGTAAACAAGTGAGTCTTTGACAAGAACTCATTGAGAAGGCTTGTTTTTCATGGCACACTAGGCTAAATATCCATATGATATGTGTGCATTTTTCAAAAAACCCTAATTATCTCCCAAACTATTAATATTAGGTATGGGCCATATGGGATATAAAAGATGTAGAATGAGACACCGAAGACGACTAAAAAATAAAATATGGGGGGTGCCATTTAAAAAAATGAAGTTATGGTACTTCCAAATTTTGAAAAGTTAACGTGCCATAGTAAAGTGATCAAACGTTCTAGACCGCAGTTCTCGGCACCAAAACATACTCCATCATGTTGCTTAAGCATGTTCTCAATCCTAAATTGATATCCCAAAAATTGAGTGTTTTCTGATTTTTTGAACAAATGTCTGCTGGAGCAGATTTTTCTAGAAAAATTCGAATAACTCGAGAACGACCGAATCAAATTGCAAAAAGTAAAGTTATTTATAAACCTTGAAAACAGACAAATCCAAATATGTAAAAATATACAGGGTGTTACATTTAAAAAAATAAAGTTGGTGGCGACTTCCGGTATAACCGGAAGTGCAAGAAATCTGAAAATATTTTAGACGAAGAGATCGTAATTGATAATACTTAAGTCTGAATTCTCAAATTTTTATTTTCGCCAGAACCCCAGAAACGTCTAATGACCGGTCTCGCTGAGACACCCTGTATATCTGAAAGCTTCAGGGGGTAAACTACCCCTAGTTTTTTGGAATATTTTAAAAACTATCCTGTCGATTTTGGCGATAATATGTGTCCTTATAGTACGTTTAAAAATATTAATGACGTGTTTTTTTCTTATTTGTCTCTGACCATCCCCTACAAAATTACGGGGTATGATAGATATCCTCTTTCCTTAAGAATAATGTGATAAACTGTAACACTTTTCAACAGTATTTTGAAGGAAACCATAAATTAGTTGTAAATTAAGATTTACGCAGTAAAATAAACCCTATACGACATTAAGGGGCGGGGGCTGGGGTTAACTACCCTAACCACCCCAAAAATTAATATTTTTTGCGAAAATTGTCGATTAAGTACTACTTATTAGGTAGTACTATTGTAAGAACTTACAAAGGTTAGAAAATATATTTTCGCTAATAACTTTCATACTCCTAGAGAAAAATGTTTTTTATCCTTATTCTATTTAAATAACACAAAAGTTAGGATAATTGTATAAATATTTATTAATAATGAGTTAAAAAGTAACTGACAAAAGAATAGTTGACTATCACAAATTGTATTTTACATTATTAATTTAATTTCTTTTTTTTTACTTGTTTTATTCAATATATTGTTGGCAATAATGAAAATCATGGAAAAAATGTTTTAAACACAACGATTGTTTACACCATGTACAAGTTATAACAACTATATCTCCACAGATATCGCACGTAGGTTTTTCATTGAAAAAGCAAACCTCCACGGGATTTTCAAACTGTGCTGGTCTCTCCTCTATATATGCAGATGCAAACCAAGCGTATTTAAAAACATTTATAAATTGTGGGGTAGACAACTGGTTATGCGTTAAGGATTGCAATTTTTAAATATTATCTTGCTGATACAAATTGACATCGTACTGGTAGAGAATAACTTGATCAGAAAATCTTCTAATAAAATTTTTCCATATTCTAAAACCAAATACATCCAGGGGTTGAATTTGACCTGTTGTCCCTGCAGGTATAGACAAATATTTAAACTTAACATCCGATGGAGTTACTGCACTAATAATTTCAGGGCAGTGGCCACTCCAAGAATCCAGTAATAGTAATGATTTGGGTCCGGTGTTTGGGAAATAGACATTTTGTAGCCAATTTTTCATATGAGCAGAAGTCAGTTTACCAGACTTTGATGCCAAAACGAATATGTTATCTCCTTTGAACATTGTATTTATTACCCTCGGTCCAAACGTACCAGAGGATCCTTTTAAAACAATGAAAAGAGGAGAAAGTAGCTTTCCATTTGCAGATATGATATGCGTGTGCGACTAACCTCACACTATACAAGGACAAGGGTTATCACTTTACAACATTCAGATTTAACACAACTGATAGAAACAATGATTATCAACAATACATTAAATAAAAATAAATTAAAAAAAAACTAAACTAACAATGTAGAATACAATTTGTGATACTTAACCATTTTTTTTCAGTTGCTTTTTAACTCATTATTAATAAATATTTCTATAATTATCCTAACTTTTGTGTTATTTAAATAGAATAAGGATAAAAAAGCTTTTTCTGTAGGAGTATGAAAGTTATTAGCGAAAATATATTTTCTACCCCAAACTTCTAACCCTTGTAAGTTCTTACAATAGTACTACCTAACGTATAAAAAAATCATCGTGGTAAATTGCACCAAAATCGACAAACAATTTTCGCAAAAAAAAATAATTTTTGGGGTGGTTAGGGTAGTTAACCCCAGCCACCCCTTAATGTCGTATAGGGTTTATTTTACTGCGTAAATCTTAATTTACATCTAATTAATGGTTTTCTTCAAAATATTGTTCAAAAGTGTAACAGTTTATCACATTATTCTTAAGGAAAGGGGTTATCTATCATACCCCGTAACTTTGCAGGGGATGGTCAGAGGCAAATAAGAAAAAACACGTCATTAATATTTTTAAACGTACTATAAGGACACATAATATCGCCAAAATCGACAGGGTAGTTTTTAAAATATTCCAAAAAACTAGGGGTA